GACATTGGACAGGTTTAGAAACGACAATGTTCAGTTTAAAATCCTGGATTATCCCAAGCTATTTTCCTGTTGTAAAAATTATGTCATAGTTATATTATAGGCGTGAATATTCCATTACTATCCAAAATTTAACTTTAGCTATATGAACACACTAGAAGACAAAACCAAAACAGAGTAGCTTTGAATTGAGATTTGAGACCCTCTGTTTCAAAAAAAAATGTGTATTATGCTTTATTCAAATAAATTATCTTTTACTTGACTTGTCTTAAATCGATTATGACTAATACAGTAGTCACCAATATCAATTTTATTGGATTTATACAAAAAATAATAATATCAGTGTGTCCTTAGACCTCAATCTGGGACATAGGTTGACAGACCATTAAGGCATTTAAATCTATTAAAGCATCTCTTTTATATGTAGTCTTGTAGATGTTCACATCTTACTTCGCATATGTATGCATCTATGGCGCCTTATTAATCAAAGCGATGTAACTCATGTCCTCATGTCCAATTAAGTCACTTGTGTTAGTTGTCAAACATAACGTAACGAAATCATAGTCACACTAATCATTTTGAGATCCACAAGACAAAATGAAAATTTTCAATTATCCTAAAAGTGGTTTCATATTTTATACTAACTTCCTGATCCCAAATCCACCTGCTGTACCAGAATTTAAAATAAGTATGTCCACCTTTCTCAAGAACCACTCTATGTATTGATAAAAATAGACAGTTCTTTTTTGGTGTATAAGAGGCCCGATGCGAGTCGAAAGTGGTAGAGCTTTCCCCAAATTCAAGTGAGCAGGTCGTTTTTCCCATCATACACGTTTAAAAAGAATGTTGATATAGAATATTATAATAACACTCACTGGATCCTGAATCAGAGGCAGCAGGTGCAACAGGCGTGCTGTGTTTACTTCCCCTGCCCTTTCTGGATTTCTTTGTGGAAGACATAGCACTGAGGGCGTAGTCACTGTCGCCTTCAGCCTCGATCTCAACGCCAAAGTCTTCATCCTAAATAATAAAAAAATAACAATTATAAGAATACATTAATATAAATCATTAATAAATTGCTAGCAACAATATTTATTGTACACTTACATAATGTTAATACTGAATTCTGATTTCCTAAACAACCATTGGCAAAAATTAGAGGTAAAATTTATAACCAAATTATGTTTTTCATGCTCATCATACAATATGAACTAATTAGTCAGAAATTATTCTTTTGTATCAAATACAATTTGGAAGTTGTATTTTTTTAATGTTTAACTTTAAGATAACTTTGCAAGGTGTTTAATGTTTGTTTACACAAAATCGAGAAAAGAGGTCAAAGCACTTTGCCAACTCATCTAAAAAGTATGTATGTACTGAATACTTTTTGCAGATGAAACTGTTTATAATTTATGCAAGCAATTACACATGTTAAATAAAGAATGTAGCACAAAGATTACTTATGTTTATGATGATTATATTCAATAGTGCATTGAGAAATACCACAATTTATAATTTTCTCAATGTAATGTTTTTATAAAAGAGAATGAATCCATTATAGAAACTATTTACCTTATCTGATTTAAAGTGGTTGCACTGATTAAAACAAACACAATAAAACTAAATCTGCAATAGTAATTTTGGTTCTGTTGATAGTCAAACAATGAGTTTCAAGTTGGCTGTATAAAAAAAATGCAAAGAAATAACTTTTCTTAACTTAAGATGTAACTAAGACACACTCAGATTTTGTCCTGTGTTATGGTGCATTTACTAACACCATTTAGGGTACTCAAACGCAAAACACATTCAACAGTCTGTAGCCATGTAGTTAAATCTGAGGTAATTTGCTGTGCTTTTATCCCATTTAGGAGTAAAACCTGCACTATCATCTCTAATCAGTAACCTGATAACAAAATTCCATGACCTCAATACACTTGGTGGGAAGTAGAGATGATAACTACTAAAATTTAATCTAAATGTATGTAAGATTTGGTTGCTGTGATTAATAATAATCAATATTTAGTTATTTTGTGATTTTCCACTATCTGATAGACTAATTCCCTTTTATTTGATAGCTTTATCATTAAAGTAAAGTATTGGTATTTTCAAAGCATGATATTTCCAGGATATCAATCATAACAAGCAAAGAATTGCTTTAATCCACTTCACAGATCTAAATATTAGAAGGAACATCAAACAATTGATCTAAATTATCCATTTATAAAATTCATTCATTTGATTTAAATTCATCAAACCCCAGGTGAATGCTATACATGTTCTTCTATTGTGTCTTGAATTACCACAATTTTATTGGAAGGTTAACTACGGTTAGTTTAAGATACTATATCACAGAATCTAGAATTCCAGATAAGATTTGATAGCTGGTATATCATAACTGAAGTGCAATTTGACCTATCTTCCATAATAGAAGATGATGCAAAAATTTGTGTCTAAGCTAACCAAATTAGTTTTATCAATGGTATTAAAAGATCTAATTTTATTTAACTATTGGTGACATAATAAGATACAGTTGCCTGGGTCATTAGAAACAATGCAGAACCATTCTGTAATATTTGAACTCAACTGTATTGTCTGTGGTGACATCAGACAATCATGTTATGACAAGTTTTACAAACAAATCATAGTGATGTAATTGAAGGCATTTCATTTTAATTCAATCATCTGAGTGTGACTTGAGTTTGAATATTTATGTATGTGTTTGTATGATGATGTTTATTCTATAAGGTTAATCACATATCAGAACCTTTTTGTTTAGGTTTCAGAGCATCTTGTTTATGTTTCAATATAGATAAAACTTAGGGAAAATTTTCACTTTATGAATAGTATTTTACTGTATTCTATTAAGAAGTATGTGTGTGTTATATGTTTTGTTAAATCAAACAAACTCTCCATTCCCAGGTCTTTTTTTTTAATTCTCGAAAAGACTGACGGCAATCACCCTGTGTGTTAAATCCACCCCTTGTACACAGAATTTTAAAATGCCTGTTCTTGTTTGTTGATAAATATGTATAATGTGTTCAATTCAATTAAACATATATAATAAATTGTAAATATCATAAAAATTTAAATCTCTTGTTACTCCCTATTAGCTTTATCTGATAAATAATTCCAAAGACAAGTCTACACTAGAGGCTGGTTTTAAAATATGTGGACAGCCAGATAATTTTGAATATAGAGCATTATATTTTATAAACTATGGGCCACATGAAAAGTTCGTGAAATAATACCTAAGGGGCTTAAATAGATGCTCAAACTTACCTCTTCACTTTCATTCTTGCGCTTCTTCTTTTTCTTTCTACCCTTCTTTTCTTCTCCTCTGGCTTTCCTTTTCTTTCCTTTTTTCTTTTTTCTACCATCTTCAGGTGAGTAGTCTTCATCCTCCTAGTAACATAAAATAGTCTCATCAGCTTATCCATAGCAAAGACTAGGTTAACCAAATGTTTACAAATACAATCATTCACTAAACAATATTAATAAAACATGAATGAATAATGCATTTTATAATTACCTTTGGTGGTGCTTCATCACTCTCTCCAGAATTCTCATTTTGACCCTCACCTTCCTCCACGTCCTCGTCGCCTGCAAGTTCACAATAAACTGGTCAAACCAGTCCACCACTCCACCCTCTTACAAACACTCTAGCTAAACCTTTACGATAGTGCATTTCGCCACATGAGCACACTCCTCACGCTAAGGTCACTAATCCCTTTGTTTGGCGGCGTCCATTTTGTTAAGTAGTAATGAGGGGATATCGCATGTTCTTTTCTGTCACAAACTGCCACTTAAAAATATTTACAACCACAAAATAACAAATACAACATTAACTCACTCAAAATACACTTCTTTGGTCACATATCACTCTGTTTGAACATAATAAGTGGCAAAATCCAAGTCACGGAACCCAAAATTTTCTAAATTTTTAATTGCTTATACCGCAAGTAAACACATGATACCGCTATTCGCGGCTTACCTATGACATGCTAGCTAAATTGAACGTTTACCTGCGAAAGAACCGTCTACTTCATCATCCGATGCCATTTAGATCACTAATCAACACAACCTGCAATAAGATTAAAGATTTTGGTCTAGAAAAGATAAAGGACGCGCAGTTTTTGCGACAAATGGTAATTAATTCAGAAATTGATGCCGCCGTCACTACACGGCAAACTAGCGAGAATTGTTGTCTCGCTCGCACACATTCAAAAAATGGGAAAAAGAAATTTTAGGGTGGTCATATCTGAATAAAAAATCTACAATGAAGAAATTAAATCTACCAATGCCTTGGTATTTTGAAACGAAACACGTGTTTGGCTAAAAGTCTTTGATTTGGTGGTTTTGAATTTTGAAACATGTGATTATAAAGTTTCACATATATAGAAAGAGGTCATGCATACTCTAGTGGTAGATAGTAAGATCCGAATACGATTGAAAATTCAAACGGCAAATTATAAAGGAAATTTCTTAGTAAGATTGAATCTGAAAATGAAAGTTGTCAATCTAACGGGCAACGGGTCAGCTAGCTGAAGATACGTTAATAAGTTGGTCATGTTTCATGTATGTATATCATAATTATGTACATATACTCCACTGAGTATAAAGCATTGAGATAATAACATAAATACAATCTCAACAAGTATGAGTATCACTAGTTGTGTGACTAGAAAAAATAAGCCATTGTAATTAAATTAAGATAAATTTAATATTCTGAGGAAAAGCTCATGAGACCTAAACATTATCTTACTTGATATTCTACCATTTTGAAGAATTTTACATTGGTCACAAAAAAAAAAAAACAAAAAATGACAACGTGAGAAAAAAAAAATGTTGCCAGTTTTTAATAAAAAAAAATCAAAATTATTTAAAATTGTAATTTTAGTGTTAATATAATTTTTGATTGATATTCTAATTAAAAAATTAGCAGGTCTAATATTTAAATCGACTCTTCGACACCAATGATACACCAAAATATAAGCGTACATTTTTAGTGGTCTTGCATCAGAGCGAGAAACTCATACGCCATTCTGTAAATGGCGTTGTCTTCTTCATTCACATTCATTGATTGACTGACGGAATTCGACGAGTTTGACAATTTGTTATTGTTTCGCTATTTGCTATCGGTGCAGTGAAGCATGGTTTTTCAATTCACAAATATTCTATTTAGTTAACACTATTTCTCTAGGTTTCTCTTCCACAAACTTCATATACCTTCCAAAATGAATGCTTTATTAGGTTACGGTTCATCCTCAAGTGATTCCGAGGAAGAAAACACAGAGAATGAAAAGTAAGCTTAATCGTAACACTGGTAAACGTAAATCTATTTTTTCAATTAACATTATTTTGTTTTAAATGTGAGTTTCTTTCAGGTCCCAAAGCGAAAGTACAAAGCCCAAATTACCAAAGCCAACGATCGGGGAAAGTAGCCTACAAACTTCTGTTTTTTCCAATCCATTCGTGGAAGCAGAATTGGCAAAGGCTGCAATACTTGAAAAGCATGTTAAAATGGTATATGTTGACTTCCTAACACTTTAAAACTTATTTTAGAGTCGCTTACCTGCAGTGTAGGTTACATGAATGGCAGCTATAACTAAATAACAAAGTTATTTTGATGACTACTGTGGCTCGTGTCTCAGTTGAGTAGCAGTGTCCTATGTAATATTCATGAATAAACACCAATAATTGTTTAACTTGTGACTACCAATGCATGGATTTTGTCATTATTTATATAAACATTAGACATCATTTAATTTTAAAAGTATTTCAAATAACATCTAAATATATTTTAATGCATTTGCATTATAGTTATTATTATACACCTCATCAAATAGTATCTATGTAGGACAGGAAAGTTTAGTATCCAGTTGTGCATACAATCGTCAAGTACATAGGCAATGACTGTAAGGTTCCAGGTAAAGACAACACACAGATGATAAATGGCAAAAGGATATGCTGGAACTATCGGAAGGGTCGCTGTCGTTTTGGACACAACTGTAAATATGCCCATGATACTGACATACAGAAGTCTAATGATGAGATTGAAGCAGAAAAACAGGTAAAATAAAAGCCCATATTCAATTTGTCATATCTGTGCATGTATGGTTTTCCTTATTAAGTTTACTAACATTATTTAAAACAATAAAAATACATAAAATTTGGTTGATTTTTCAGAAACTGAAGTCAGTAGTATGTGAAGGAGCTGGAACAATGACTGCAGCTCCACCCCCTATAGCCGTCCTTGAGTCCGTTCTGCCCACAGATGATGCTGTCTGGGAAGGAGCTACAGACAAAAAGAAACTCAAACGACCAGGGTTAAGCCAGACATTAGTACCTGGCAAAAAAGTTATTAAAATGTATAAAGAACAGAAAATCAAAGATGTTAATAAAAACTAAACAATAACATGTGTCAAGGCTGCTGTATTTGTGGCATGGTTGAAATTAGAAACTTTGTTTTGCATTCAGAGCAAATTGTTAAAAAGTTGTTCCATGTTGTTATTGCCTGCTAAATGCGATCTTGGAGCGATGCTCAAGGAAATTCTTCTAGAACATTATAAACCTAAGACACAAACTGACCTTTTAAAATAAATGTTGTTGCCTTATCCCTAAAGTTGTTTCACTAGGTACTCTAGATTTGGACATCCTTGAGATTTGCTCAAAATGGTTGTGACACCATCCCCTCTCATGTTGTGAAATTTACATTTAACCATGATGCATTCACAGCAATCTTTCTTTTACTTCCACTTTAAGCTTTATCTTGCATTCCACAGCCATGTATAATATTTACCAAAACACTAATGTTCAATTTCTTTTGTTAAAATAAATATCGTAGTTTTAAGTTTTATATTTTGTTCATGGTTTACTGTTGTGTAACGAAGTGTTATTTGCCGTGAACTGTTAACACTATAGAGTGCGAATCTCACTACTTCTACCTACTCCTAATCTTTCCTCGGGGTGTCATGAAAACTGACTAAGGTCATCAAACCCTGTAGCAGCATTCCTTGAAATAATATCTAATTTGCCTGCCTAGTGTGGAGATTATTATACCTAGACCTACGTACATCTTTTCGGCCATACTGGTTGCATAGTATGAGTATGAAGTAACCATAGAAGTCTACCAGAGTACGTCGAACCGACGGAATAATTTGTCAATGTCCGCTACTCAATGCCGAAGAAACTAAATAAAAAGTTAGTTAATGTTCACAAGTGGTGGGCATTGACTATACAATATATAAGTACTGAGAGTGGTGTGCAAAGCGATTAGGTATGTTAAAAAATCGTTGCTACTTATATCCACAAGTAGGGTCGAAAGGATTGGGGACAGGGGGATATTACCAGATTATTGCAAACCTCCATTCTACAGAGACGGCAAACAGTCAAACAGACCTTTCAGGCTGTCCAAAATGGTCTTGTAGATTATTGGACAACCCTCTAGTTCGGGACCTGTTTGTTTTTTTGTGAGGGGAAAATCATCCGATGACTTCTCCCGGCCAGGATCGGACGGGAGGGAGTGTCACACTGTTACTAACTAAAACCCCCCGTGCCTTCTCCTACTCCGGGCTGAGACCGCGGTGTCTCATTGCGCTTATCCCGTAACTCCGGCTGAACACCACTCACTAGCCCCAGCCCTAAAGGGCTCCGTCCCGTCTGTGGTTGTCTATTGGCTTTTTGCCTTTGACTTGTTACCTGCGCTTACAGTGGCCGAAGATCGCCCTTCGAAGTTCGGGATCAAGATTTTTACTTACTTCTCCATGCAAAATCGGCTCCTTGAATATTTTCCTCGTTCAAAATGTCAACCTGTATAATGACGTCAAAAGTTCTAATAGGTACCTACGTCACGCAAGCAGTTTAAAAGTATAGAATACCCACCCCACTGACAACAATAGGACAGAAGCCCGCCAGGCATAATTACCTCGCCTAGTAAGAGGATGCTCCTTTTCCGATCTTAGGAAATTTTACACTGCTCCACAACCCCTTACGGACGGAAAACTTACCTTTACTTACAGATACTAATACAAAGATTCCTTGTCTCAGTTACCTACGGTCTTTTCTCAGCATACCAAATGCAAGAAGAGTAAATAAAACATTAAACTATTGTTGACCCACGTGGAGTACACACAAGATTTTCATATAATATCTTATGTAAGGTATTTTGTTTCGTGTGGGAATAAAGCCCACAAAAGATGGCGCTGCAGTCGATTGCCCAACCACCGCCGTTCAAACCTAGTCGCGTAATCTTCTTACGCCATTTATGTTCGCTACCTCGTGCTTTTGTATTATAAATTTCATGGGAATTAAATTAATTTTGTTCAACAGCTTTTTCTCGTAACTGTTTAGGTAGCTAAACTTGAAAACCGCGTGCGTGTGCCGCCATTCTAGGGAATATGAGCCCCTAGAGTGGCTTGAAACCAGTCGACCTATCTTGGTTTTGTTTTTCATGTTGTAAGTAAAACAAATTCATCCAATGACGCATTTTTCTTTATTAAGAAATGATGCGAGAAGTTACATAATATGCAATTTTGAGATTTTTAAGCCCAAAAGCTATTAGCACGATGCACCAAAAATAAGTTACATTATAAAATGTAAAGATTTATTTAATACAATATTCAAAGCCAAATCTCATAAACTCAAATAATTCTGGCATTTTATTAGTTATACACTGCAATAAAGCTAGCGTTACATTTATCCTTTTGGTGCAAACGGCTAGTAAGATATATTTCAGTTGGCACGTTCGCCGCCAACGTTTGCTCTGTAGAATGAGAGCCCTCAATTGCTCAATTATAATAGCACAGCCATTAACAATGCTACCGTGGATCTTTGCCAAACGATTGAATAGCTTCATAGCTATTTAGCAAACCGCTATACAGTAGATGTTGTCTTCATTACATTGAAATTATATTTAAAAGACGGCCTTAAAAATACTTTTGTAAAATTATTTTTATGATTTTGCGATAAGTACATACTAGTCTTCTTTAACAATAAAAAAAATAGTGACACTGCAACGACATCAATTTCTAAATTGAATTACTCTGTGTCACATAAATATATACTTCTTTATTTTGATAAAAATATATTTCATTTTAAGACAAATTCAACGCTAAAAGCTCAGGGGACCCGCCCTAGTGAATACTGTTTACGAATGGTGTTAATGATAGATAACATTTGGACCCCTGTAAAGAAAAGTGTGAACGATCTACGTGACCACACAACATCGAGACATTAAAATTTCACGATTCAATCTACAAACTAAAAGGATTACTGCAACGTCCTAATTATGAACATTTCTAACGTCGCGTCGTCAATACATAATTAAATAAGTCTATAAATAAAATGCTATCGCGTTAGGTACATTTAAACCTAAAACACTAGTCTTAGTGTTTAAGATACTGCAACAATACTTAACTTGATATTATTGCAATACTTTAAGTACATACTATTAGTGTGAATGACAATGTTTGCATTATATTTTTAAGAAAAAGTTTTAAGTATATTATACTGTGTAAAGGCACAAACAATACAAAACATTTCATTATACATATATATCTGATTATTCAGATTGCTCGATATATTATACGCTGTGGTGTTCTTGGATGCAATATGTATGTAAAATATTGTAATATTTAAGGAATACTACAAAAATAGTTATCTTTTGGCAATTGATATAAAAGTACTATGAATAAATACAATATACGAGCATACATGATCCTTTAACGATGGTTGGCGATAATGAAATAGTTATTAATTACATTTAAGTAGATCTTAACCTTATAGCTATTTCATAATTTGGTGTATATTGAAGTGTTACAAAGTGGAATTCCATAAAAATTCAAAATCTAAAGTACATACGTAAGTTAATGTTATTAAATCTTGACAGCAACTTTTGTAATCTTTGGTGATCCGAGATCCATTCTGTGGTTTTTCTTGAATTCTTCCAGCTCTGTTTCATGCGCAGCGCCGTTTACTGCAGCACCGTTGAGTTTCGGAGCGTGCCCATTAGCGTGGTTGCCATTTACCTTAGCTCCACGCGCAGTGCCCTTATCACTGTACCCGTTAACTTTATCACCAGCGTGGCCATTCATTTTACCAATGGCATGACCATTTACTTTCTCACCTGCGTGGCCATTTATTTTCGCGGCTCCATTAGAGCCAATGTGTTTGTCATCCCTGTGGCCGTTGGTCAAGCCTTTAGTATGCCCTGATAAATCAAAAGAAAATTTCCTTTTAACCCCCAAACTACGTTTTTCATAGTGACACTGGCGCAAATGTGTTAGTCACGTTTTCTAAGCTAAATGTTCATAACGAAATAAAATTTTACAATCTTGAATGTTACTATTAACGCTCCGTATTAGTAGATTCATCGGATGAACCCATTTCGGTTCGTCCCAAAATAGCAACAGCACTCGAATCTGCAAAGTTATGGTGACTTTAATATACTCGGGGACCCGCCTCGGAAAGAACTAGCAATACTCACACAGTGGTAGTAACATGAAATGTATCCATACCTCCCGCGTCTAGTTTTATTGTCAATTTGTTCACGCATAATTTCCCTAAATTTTCAAGTTGTTATGTAATGAGCCTTAAATATTAGTACACCAGATAGCAAACGGTTATGTTACGAGGGAGATATTGATTTATTAGTGCAAAACATTCAATGTGTAATGAGACAAAATCTAGATAGAAAATGTTTTAAAAAATCCTACATAAAAAATAATAAAATAGAAGACTACCGAAACTAATAGGGGTGTCTAATCTATTCTATAACACAATTACGCCAGTGTTCACATCACAATATCGCATGCAAAGAAAAGATTCACAGAAAAACCCAAGAGAATGTCTGTAACAAATGCTATTAAAACTTCCAATTATATTCCAGGACACAGCAAGTATTTTAATAGCATTTGCTTGCAGAACAAACTTAATATTGGACAGTGTCATTCATCACATTGTAATCAAATCTGAATCTGCTCTGCATATTGATTAAGTAAGCAATATTATTGTTCAGATTTGAATCAGATGAAGCATGTCCCTCGTAGACACGTCCAAAAAGGTAATCTACCACATCTTCCGTCTTACCATTTGCGTGACTGGAGCTTTCACTACCGGTGTAGTACTTTTTTGAATTCTTCCAATCTTCCTTGAGGGATAAGTTGTACATCGAATAGGCGGGGTCACCAGTCACCTCCTTCTCAATGACAAGGAACTTGGGTAACGACGCTAACAGCGTGTCTTGATCGTGAATCGCACTGTACGTCTCGAGCAAAATTAGTCCCCGGCACCTGCAGGCATTTTGGCAATAATAAGACATTGTTTTACGAAGAGATTAAAGTAAAAAAACATATATAAATATTACCTTAGAGACGTATCTGGCGGATAATAAATATATAATAAATAAATAAATAATAAAGTATATGTAAAATACCTAATTTATTATAAACAGTAATAACTTAATTTATTATAAATAATTCGAAGACCTAATCACCTGGGATGGGAGGGTTGTCTGTAAATGTCCAACTGATAGTACTGGTTGTTGTAGATAAAGCAACGACGCTTCTTGAAGATGGTGAAGTGATGTTCGTCCCTCTGCGGGAGAAGGTTTAAGTAGTCTCGGTGTGTGAGCTGCGTCCTTACTTCTACAGACTGGCCATTGATCGGATGGATCTTCCGTAGCGTGTGTATGTAGGACCAGTGGCCTTTTTGACCTCGCTTGCGGAGCCGAACTTGCGCCTTGCGGACATCGCTCTGCAAGTAGTTGTGAACGACATCGAAATCCTGGAACGGAGGGAACTCCGAGTCTGGAGCGATCGGCGCCTTGACGAGGAACTTGCGCTTCTTGGAGTTGACATTGAGCCGGTCGCCGGTGTCAATGCCGATCCTTTGGCACACGCAGTCGATGAGCCGGTTCATCTTCAAGTCGAAGTCGGTCGAGTTATCGATGACATCAAAGTAAGGATGACCGATCCACGCAGCAGCCGCATTGTAATCTAGTTCCCTTGCCAGCTCTACGCCTTCAGATCGGCAAGCGTGATCCTGTCAATGAAAACCATAAGTCTACTATTTAATAATATTCAACCAAGCCAGATATCGTATCTGTCAAGGTTAGGCAAAAATAGGCGCGGAACTAATTTAGGTCATACGTTTAATTGTCAGATTCCAAGTGTGATTAGACATAAGACGATTACTTGTCACGTGACAAACACATCATAATGACGAAAAGTAATCAATATTATCAAGGCGCTTTAATCTCTGATCTTGGAAATTCATAACAAAACGTTAATCCTATCTTTCGATGACGACATTTAATTGTTTTTATTCTTCTTATAGCTAGGTATTATTGATACTAGGGGCTTTATCACCGTAGTCTTGAAATGGCACATTGCCAATGTTATTGCGAAACCACAAACAGAGAATTGCATGCGCTGCGGTAATTCATAAAGTTAGACATTTGAATAATATTGTTTTTATGGTTCTGGCTTCTGAGCAAACGTTTAACGGAACAAAAATATGCGAAGGAATCTAGATTTAAACGTTTATTATTTGTTTTGAACATGATTACTAATCGATAATATTGAAATAAAGAAGCAGCATTTTTGTAATTGAACAGAATAAGTTCTCACTCACACAGAGAAATATAATGTTATGGTTGTATCACGCCGGTGAGTCAGTAGTATCAATTCGATTGAGCCGATCCATTCGTGCCGAAGCTTGGAAATTTTCCTAAAGGATTTGAAGTTAACAATAAAACCCTTTTACTATATCCTCTGCAATGGCAGTTGCATTCAACCAACGGCAACGGGTTTCGTCACAACAAAAACATTATTAATCATTGTCGTTATTATTGACATAGCTTGGTAAATTTTCCATTTAGGTAGGTTATTTCCTCAGATATTGTGATTATGAAACAAACTAATCAATTATATCTGTGTTTATCAATATTAAATGCGGTAAGTCAGAAATAAGTAAATTCACAGAAGTAATCAATTACTTTCATTTAGACAGCAATCTATAGATATTATAAAAGAAAATATTTGTTTGATGTTTGACTTGTATCGATTTTTTTTTAAAACGTTGCCCTACATTTGGATTTTCTCCTGTGTCGTGGGTGCGGTTACAAACATACAAATTCACATATACACATGACAGCCAGAACAAGATTGTTTGACCGATTTGGAAAAATACATTATTTGATTGTTTACTTTTTATCCAAATCTTGACTACTCCACAGGATCGTGACCTTCTCAGGAGAAATCGTTAAAATAAAATTGAAACGCTTTATACAATAAAACAAGTATGAGTAAAATCTACAAGAACATAGCAATACTATCAAAATACAACACACGACTCTCACAACGTGATCAACTGACACGTTAGACTACATCAACATTAGGTAGGCAGTTATTTTACACTGAAGTTGCATTAATACGTTTTATTATTTTAGTCACGTTTCTTGAACGTTAAGCGTTATAAATGGCCAAAGATTCAGTTTAAAATAATATGCAATTATGCTCCTAGCTACGTATCTATTATAACTAGCCTCCTTATGATTGGGCATTAAACAACTGGGCTCTGCTGATTTACTCACATTGTAAACGCGAAAGTTTCTAAGAATGGTTGAATTTTTGGAAAAAATGTGTTTGTTACTATTTCACGTAAAACTAATAAACGGACCTGAATTTACATTTGGATTATAATCAGGAATCCTGATACTGCGGCCGAAGCCGCTAGCATAAGTACACTACATAAAAGCCAATATTTTCCATTGATGGAAATCGTATTCAAATCAGTTCAATCGTTTTTTAATATGAAGAACAACATACTTGTTATGAGCAGCTGGTATAAAGTAAATTGAGTAGATAGAAACTGGACTACGTAGAAAAAAGCGATGGTTTGTCACACTTTTAAATATAAAGAACACCCGTCATGTGCTGACAGTAGATCCCCTGTTATTATCCATTGTCTGTTCTGACGCTAATCGATAGCTTGAAAACATGTCAGAAAGAGAACCAACCGCGTTAGTAAATAGCAATGTCTCTCAAATGATTGATGGTGCCATGCTTGTCAAAACGCTGTTAAATAAATAATGAGTTTTAAATAAACGTTTATTGTTTTGGAATGTACTAAACAATTATAATTTTATTTATTTTTTCACGTCATTACAGCAAGCATGTTATCAGCTATCACTGCATAGAAAAACCCAATATTTAATACTTTAATCTAACTTCCTTTTATTGATTGTCTTGATATTTTTTGTTCCAACAATATTACATTCTTATGTAATAGTTTGAAGAACTTAACGCCTAGTATAATTACAGATTCCAAAGTAATTTTCTATTTCGTGTCAGGGCCGACAAAACGTGAATGATTCTGCAATTATAAACTTGAGCACAGTCGATATAGTTCCTTTCTGCATTCAGGCTTCCATTATTTTAGGTAGGTGAGAAACATTTATGGTATTAAATACAAATAGCTGATGGGAACAAAATCTGACTTCAAGTACTAACATCTGTTGATTACGTACTCGTGTCTTTAAAGAACAATGTTGACAAACGCTTATTAGTCACATTACTTATCTCACGCTAATTATTAGCATGATGAGGTATGATGTTATCATACCAAAACAGTTGGTATCACATCAGGTAAACATAGACAGACTTATCACACTTTAGGTGGCAAAATCTGTTTTGACATTGAAACGTGAGTCTAAAGATAGTACGCAAATTCGCTTCAATTTAAAATAGATGGTGGGAATGTTTCCTCAATAGATTGCTAGATCAATACGCATGAATTTATCTAACACTGACGTACTTGTAGTCCTCTAACTAAGCACCCATACCCACAGCTCACAGGGTTACAGATCAAACTTTGATTGAGAATCCAAAATATCGTCACATAAACTAAGTAATATCTATCATATACCTTTAATGGGTATTTACATTAGATTTAAGTGTTTTTTGATAATAAAATCGACGTAAAATTTTTATGATTAAAGTCATTAAGAGACTTCAGACAACCTTCGTTTTATACGAGCTTGGAATAGTCTATAGCTATATAGCTGTTGTTATCATGTTCATATTGCGTTTGTTTTTTGATATATTTATTATGTTTCGTATCATCGTGGATTAAACATAATGGTCTATATTATGTATCATATGATCATATCCAATGCACGAAGGCGACACACGTTGAATCATAGTTATCAATCGCATTCCGTTACTGTTGGGTGTATAGACTTGCGGTTTCAGCTTGCTTGGTGCTTGGTAACAATAATGTAATTTAAGTACACTGGTTAGCAACAGGTATTTATTAGAGGAATCTCAAATATGTTGTATGAAAACTTCACAATAATAAACAAGGACAATTTAATAGGGGAAATTAGAGAGTATAAATCTGTGTTTTCAATCAATCTGTATTTTGAATAAACTAATGTAATAAAACGATTTGTTTTGCTAATAGGAACGGGCGTAGTTATCAAGCGAGTGACTTTTATCTAACGTGTATTTTAGACGCGACCTAGTTTCGTGGTGTTTGGCCTGCATTTCCTAGTTCACTGACTTGTGACGTAGAATGGTTTAAGAGAAAGGAAGTGCTTACCTCGGTGGAGTAAAAGTCTTCAGCTCCGTTAGCAGCTGAGAGCATATGTACGATTTGATTGTATCGGTTATCTCTCAGCTCGACGCAGTTCCAGTTGTTTGTGGCCAACATCGCCTCCCATTTTTCTCTCGATATAACTGAAACGTGTCCAAGAGTTTGCTATTAGGAATAATAGAGATGCAATTAAAATTTTCAAACAATTTTCTACGTCGGCTTACCGCCAATTTCTTTACATAACCCTGGCATACTTTTATTTTTTACACGGCATAGATTGGCTGCTATTGTCAAGTCCAGAAAGTGTAACAGCATTCAATCCTAGTTTTGCGTACTATGTACTTAGGTAGCTGTAGGTACAATTAATTAAATAGGATGACTGATAATGGGATCGAGTTATAATTTGTAATTTTGACCTATTCTGATAATATCGCAATAAAGTAAACAAAATTCGAGTTGATATCAGTAGAGCAAATGACCTCCTTGGTGCGAACGCGTGGCTTGAATTTACATAACAAGCCGTTTTGAAACATGAAAAAATCAGGAAAGAAATATATATATATATAAATGATAATGAGTGTTTTGTATTTATATCAATATTATGTAGAAGAAAGGAAATCAATAGATATCCGTTAATTAATAGATAAAGGTTGTTTTTAATTATGTAAACAGAAATTATGTTAAACACGATTAGCATTCCAGTGGCACGTTTCAACTGTCTAGATGTAACTAGATTACTGCCAAGAGTCAACATTGTATCCAATCTTAAAATGTATGGAAATCAGAGCACCTAACATTATGTTATTTTTATCTTTGTAGTGCTTGTCACGCTTACAATGAAACCAACGAACGTTATCTGCGGAAATGCACATTTCCAGCGGATTTTCCTTTCCATAAATAAAATACCATTTCAAACAAGTTTAAGCCTTTACAAATTTTAGTAGGTAAGTATAATAAACATCCTGTGTTCAAATTACAGTAGCATTAACACAATCAGTGCAAAATAAATATTAAATAAAAATGCAATAAACAACAAGAATACAATTTCATACCAATCATCAATGTCCTAAATTAAAAACAGCAAAATTAAACTTATTGGTGAGTATACGTTAGATATTTACTCAATATGTTCAAGCTTAGATAACAATATATTTATTATTGTCGCCTTGGTTTATTGATGATTCAACTTTAATTATGGCAAATTTTCATACATTACTTACAATATTATAACAAGGCAAAACACAAACTAGTGGTTTTGTTACCGAATCCTAATTCTTTAATCTTGTAATAGCTAATTTGAATATGTATTATCTAATCTATTTCATAACTTGACCTAATATTTTTCTATAACGCGCAATATATTAAAGTTTTCATTAGAGCTCAACGAGTATGATGAATCAACTATAATTATCCTAACCACATACTATTTAGAATAGATTTAAAAAATTCTTTGAACACTTTGGAACATTTTCTTCCCAGAGAGAATTACCATAAACAATCTCCACAGACACACGAAGCTTTATTTACCACATGGTGAATAACAATTTTCTTGTTACTGACTCATTACCTAGGCACTAGACAAGCCTACATGTAAGTTTCCATAATAAAACTTGTTGAGAAATGAGTGACTCTTGTTGCAGCAATGATAATAAACCATGGCGTAGTTAAACACGTTGCTTTACATATTTGTGTATAACATACCACTACATAAGGCACGTGTTATTTATCTTCCAGGTGTTATAATCTGATAGACGTAAACACTAGACGAATAACATTGTTAATAAATTTATCTACACTGTAGTATACTAGTACTTATTCATTCTCAGACAAATCACCCTTCAGGCGTCTGTTTGTCTGTCTGTGACCGTAAATCATAATTATGGCATGATGTTCTGTTTGCGGTCAGTATTAATAGACATGTTAATTATAGTTTTCATGTACAATGCTGGTTTAATCTGTTCATGTGTAGCGTTTACTGGAAAATCACGTGGTTATTTAGCATACAGAACAGTTATTATTTTCATCTTTATAAGATTGGTAGACTCCATTTTAATACTATTCCGTGACCAGTCTTTTGAAGTAATAGAAAAAAAATAACAAAAGTAACTTACATGCACTGGCATCCATCGCACCCCTATCGCATATAATTAAGCAATCCCTTTGACATGTCCTGCCCAGCTCGAAGAAAGTGTTCTCAATCTGTATCATAGTCCTTAGGAGGTTCTCCTGGAATTTCAGTGCTGTAACAAAGGATACACATTTGTTAATACAAAGGCTGAATATGTCTACGATTGCCTTTTGTTGTATCTACAAGTGATGACGCTAATGCAGAAATATATTTCCAACAATACGCAAAGTCTTTACGATGTTATTATTACTCGTGAGAATTATATTAATATACTATTTTTACACGGTGAAGTTATGTCTCAAATAATGTATACAATTAACTCTTTCCATGAGAAGGCATAGAAGATATGAGGTTAATATAAAGGTTTAAGATATACCTAAGCATGCTGTAAAAGATAAACTTAACAGAGAAAACCTAGAATTCTCGATATATTTTCTTACTCCAAAGTACCTAGCACATTTATTTATATTTAATAGTTACTTCTAGAATGGTGCCAATTATACATTTAAAATGTGTATCTCAAAACGTTGCACTATATTTCAGCAAGTTACCAATAATAAGAGATGCGTGGGCGCGACTTGAAAAGGTCAAAAGAATAAAACGGTCGTGATGGAATAACAAAATTTATTTTCTAGAACAATAACCTGTACAGTAAAATATTGAAATGGAGCCAACGGCACACGTGTCTAAGTCCACAATACTACGAAAGCTGGCAGGTAACCATACAACTTTTAATGAAACTAATAAAGCAAGCAACCTATTGATAATGGAATTCCCCAGATGCAACTACGAGAACTGTTATCCTTTTATCAATAACGAAATTAAATAGATTTAATTGACTAAACAAACGAAATGAAGAGTCGGAGCTACAATAAACTTCTGACAGAAAAATATCGTTAAGTGCTCTATTGTGATGTGTACGAGTAAATGATTCTAGGTTAGATAATAGAGGATTAGCTCGCGTGTTAATTTATAAGATGTTTACACCACAATAATTGGATAATCTTAGCTTTCAGAAGGTCAACAAAGATTTAGGCATCATAGATAAACGTTATTAAATTATAACGCTAAAGCCGGTGAATAAAGAAACCATATTGATATTGCAGCAAATATGTATATCTACAAATAGTTAAGTGCCATAAAACGCTTAAAGAAATGACTAATCCAACATTTCTGAAGGAAATGGAACATAGGCACCTTCAAAGGGAAAAGAGAATATCTAATTCCAAATCTCTGAACGTTCGTTTGCTATTCTGTTTCATTTTGTGAAAACGTTGAAGGTATATGCTACCTGGCAAATTACCCGCTGCATAATAAACGATGACAGTAAAGCTCATTTATCTACATTAAGTTATTTGGATAATCCAAACGTTTTGGAAAGACATGAACGTTAAACGCAATTTACGGCACGATCTATTCCAATGAATGTCATAGGTACAAAAGCTAGCACAATTAAATTTAGTGAACTAAAGTCACGCACGCGACTTATACATTTTCAAAATGGACGGAAATTGAACGTCTCGTTCAAGAGAACGTGACTGAAAATAATAGTAAAGTAGGTAAGAGCGCACTATCACTGGTGCATCATAAAAGACGACATGAATAAAAGATAAATAGCTATAAAAGTGACGTAGTTCTACAACAAGTGTACCTTTCTAAGCCATACCTAGCTGTACATTATTTCATACATTTATTACGCTGGAGAATTTATAACATTATCTAACTACTTGGAAAAGATTGATTAAAGAATACATTTAAATTTTTTCACGTCGCTATTTCTCCAAGTGTTTTACAGTAAGGAAGATGAGCACGAGACTTATGACGCAATAGGACAGTGACGCGACAAGGCGCGGCGTGCGGAACACACATTATCACCTACAAATCACTGTTAACGACCCCGACAGACACCATTGTCATAGTAAATGCCAAAAAATGGGCACCAATATAGATTTAACAATAAAAACTTTATATGCTAAACAATTATACATATTCTTGCGTGATCTTTAAAGTCGTCGCACGAGTGTTTCGCGTGATAATTTAATAATAAGTATTTAAATCCTTAATGTTACTTATTTCTTAAGGAATCCGATCTAACTCGTACTATGTATAGTATCAGAGATAAAACACGTCTCTATTGCCAAATGTCGTCTTAACGTGAAGAATTCTATACTAGGTATATCACCGGCTTTTAAATGGCAACGATCTTATGGCTATTAAGAGGGTACAGCGTCTTGAAGTATCCTGTTTATGTAAGACGATTCCGATTCTGGTCGTAACTGAGCGGTGGTGTAGACACATAACATACCTATCCCGCCGGTTAGCATTGCTTTACAATTACTCCAGTAAAGATTGATTAATTGTCAGTTGGTAACAAGAAACAAGAAGGGTTTGGAGCAAATCATAGTAAGGCTCGGATAACTTTACAAATACTAAAAAATAAATGATTGACAGAAGTCTGTAGCTAAAGGACGTTGCCTTGGAATTTGTCTATTTAAAAATAATAAAGTAAATTATTTCAGCGAGGGGCGTGCTGGGAGACTATATCGGCCCTGATCGTCTGCTGCGTTTTATTTTCAGCGACATACTAATGAACTCGTACTGGTTGTGGACGATTTAAGTTTTCGTTGCCCACGTGGTTTATGACATCTACGAGTAATTGTAAAATAAAAAATCTGAAGACTCATTTCAAAAGTAGGACACTGTGAAAATTTGATATTAATGTAGGAGTAATGACATTGGCGACAGCTGCCTAGACAATTTTATGACGTTAGAATATGTTACGATGGCAATAACAACGAAAAAGAAATGGGCTTTAAAAGTACACAAAGATAAAGTTATAATCCATAACCTCATATTAGATGCTTGAGCTAATATACTTTGGATAATTTATAATAATTAACATAGGAGTTGATTAGAGCCCTCTCATAAATAGTAACTACTATCATCTTGTTTTGCCTGTCATACTCGTAAATACCTACTTTGGAGTGGACACTCAGGTATCACATGATAGATAAGAAAAAATCCATAGCATGAACTTGATAAAACATTATTGTTTTTGTCAAGAGTTTTAACAACTTAAAAAAACATTAAGTACGTAAAATGGCGGAAATAATTAATTGTAGGTGTTTTATTGTTAAAAAGGATAATTACAAAGAAATAAATGACAAATGAGGAAGACAAATAGTTTAATTAATTTTCCTTTTTCGAATAAAAAAGTTTTACTTATTTCTTCAAATCTGTATTGTACTGTCGGACTTTTTTCCTCGTAATTGCAGTCAGGGCAACGAATCGAGGTCATACCTAAATGCTTTGACACCAAGAACGGAATGGTACAATTTTTCATTTTATAATAAATTGCCTTTAAATAAAAAGTAACAATGTTGTAGAAACTTTTTCGTTAGCGCGTTTTCTTAAGATTGATAATCATTATTTAGGTTTTTATACAAATTCGCAGAAATATTTGGTTTAAACTGGATTGACATTCGTATGCCAAAGGTGCAAGGGGTATGTTGTGTACATTATTGTACATTCACTTATCTATTTTCGATAAAAATTAAAAGCAAACAAACCGTGATAACACTGTGTCGAATTATTAGCTATATTTAATATTTAAAGTTTTTAAATAAAAAATTAAAGTTATTTGAAAACGAAGAAAAATCATAGTCTTGTATTGTAAATGATAACGTGGAAATCAAAATTATTTTCGTATCGCGTGCTTTGCTTCCATGACAGATTTCATGCACTATTCATCGTTATTTGAGTTAAACTCATGTTTCGTTTGACTTAATTTTATGACTCAGTAATATTCGTTGGTTCGCTTCGAACAAGAGGATTTTTATCGAGCTTTGTTAGTTTAATTTTAATTGAAAACGGTTTGAGGATGAATGGTCTTCAAAAAAGCAAATCAACGCTTTAAAATAATTTAAGTAAATGTTTAAAGTAAAGAATTCCTTTTTTGTAAAGATTCCTGTCTGTCTGCTCTACAGAATGTTTGGCAGCTCTCTTGTGTACATTGACCAACACGCCTCCACTGACGTCAATGTCCAAAAAAACTCAACGCTCTGAGACGTCATCAGAAGCCAAACAATGATTTGTATACTTGTGTTGAACCTAATTAGGTGGTCATACTATAATGAGCAAAAAGCCATCATTATGATGTGACAAAATTTGTTACAGATGGCTTCATAAAGTCTAAAATTACATACAGCATGGTTCAATATGGTTACTGGCACGATACCAATACCTAACAGACAGTAAAAACAATTAATTCACAGTAAAAACTTCTAAATAAACGATCTGTGCCATTGATCTTATTAATACCAGATGCCAGTCGTTATCACTACGACAAACTTCGATTGCGTGACGTTATAAAATGGAAGCAGACTGGGATTCATCGTATACCTTGTTTACTTTCTGATTAAATTTGCTCATCTAATAAATAAACAACAGTTTATTATGTCTATTAAACAAGTAGACATAGCACTAACACTGCCACGAGCTACCTAATTTGATAAGAGCCGAGCAATATGTAGGTAAATATAATATGGATAGCTCGAGCAATTAGTGAGAGATCGATGACCCTAAAAGGGAGGTTTTAGCGTAATGGAACAGAAAACTACCTAGCTTCCAGTCTGACATTGTTACCGACTCACCGCCGACCCCTTCGCTGGCTTGGGCAACAGCCGCGGCAGTACACCATTTGCAATTTGTAGCGCACATGTCAACTGAAACACTTATCGTCGGATCTGCCACAATATTTATTATCAGTTACTTTTATTGAAGATTGAAGTAGGTACTTACGTCTTACATCTTTGCCGTATTAAATGTAAGAGTGTTTATGTTTATTAGCATCCAAACAAGTCTCAATATAAATGAGGTCTGCTTCCTGAACTAGTTTACAAAACCTTTGATTTAACGAATGACTTTGTGGCTAGTCGAACTACAAGTTGATCATAAGAGATGTGCCGAAGAATACCATAGTATGACAGACTTGGTTTATTCTAACACTAGCTGCCACTACTCATGAAAGTTCAAACCGCGGGAATACATCGTGATGTAATGAATGTTTGCATGACAAACTAAAGTTATAAAGATGGTTTCGTTCGTAATGACCGGTCGTCGTAATACGTGTACTCAATTGAGAATCTATACGATTTGTTCCTCCACTATAATGTCCAAGGGCCTGATAATGATACCTTTTGTTATTTTGTTGACTCAAGGTAAAATTCGAAGATAAATGGTAAAGAAAATATTTGTAGTTCGATATCAACTTATTCGACCTACTTAGGAACAAAAGGTTTTTATGAGAACTATTATTTACAACAAAGCGATATGTACTTAAATATTTAAGGACAAGAAAGCGAAATTGTTTGTTTCTATATTTCATAAGATATCAGACGAAAAAGGGCACGAGGTCGTAGAAACACGGTCAGTTTAATTGAACTACGGAACAATAATTTTCCACCTGTGCAGCTACAGTCATGGCTTTACTTAGATTTTTTTATCAACCGCACGTTTGTAATTGCAATAAATCTTATTATAGCTATAGGTTATTAGCTTTGCTGGGTATAGGGGGCATTCATTGAGTATCAATCAATATCCATTTTGTAAAGGTCGCCTTGACCTTGTACGATGTCTGTCCGGACGAACTTAGTCGCCCCCATATAGTGAGGTTTATGTGTTTGTCAATAGTACTTTAGGCTAGACACAAATGTCTACTAGCACGCTATAAATTTTAGTAAATGTCATATTATATAACTAAGATGTAAGTATATGTGTTTTTATTTCAACAAAGGAAAAAATAAGAGAATACAAAGCTGAAATTGAGTATTTCAACGATCGGTTTAAGACTTTTCATTATTATAAAATCTAAAGTATTACTATTTATTACAATACAACATGGCAATTGGACGTTTTGGCATTTTGTCAAATCTGTCCGCCATTTATTTTTTTTATCCTAGAACTAGACTCATTCAGACTTTTTATTAACGACGCAACATTTAGTCAATTTATATATATTAGCGTGTTTAGTACTACGTTTATATGACTGGAAAAAAATTGAAAGAAATAGACAGCGTCTTTGAAGATCACTTTTATGATGTTAATATTATGTATATTTTTAGTACAAAAGACATATGTAAGTTGAAGATAAAGGCAGGTATAAATGCGGGCCAAAAGTAATTAAATGTTGTCTTTACGTCAGAGTTTGCATGTGACTTCATTTGTTTTGAGTAAATATCAGTAGATATAGCGCGATAAACATTAACGGATGATGAGGACCGGATGCTGAACTTATTCAGGCATCGTTTCACGCAATTTACACAGTTGGCTGCGTCACACCGTGACTGGTGATGACAAACAGTTTGCTCGTACAATTAGATATTAGCAAGTACAATAATTTCAAGTTCTATTCAGTTTATTCGACTGACAACTACTGGCGGCTAAGCGATTGGAGGCATTGTAACGGAAAACCGTGCTTGAGTGGAACCCGCCACGATTGTCTATTTCTGTTTAATGGGTAACATGCGTATTATGATTGCACATAGTTACGGTAGACTTGTTACATTATAAAGGCATGTGTGACCGTTAATATCGGTTCCCTTTACGACATGGTAACAACCCTAAACTTCGCGCCTTTTATTCTATTCTATTAACACAATTTAGACAAATATTAATCCCATTCCAAGAGCTAAATTCATATCAACGATAATTAAAAACCCTAATAATTTATAGAAGTCGGAAATCTAGGTTGTAACCTTGTGTTTACAGCAGTTTTTTTATACTACATTATACATACGATATAAATTACTTTTACAATGAATTCTTAAAATTCACATAAACCAGTTAAATGGCGACTGATTCTAAAAACAGCACGTATTACGTATTGCGATCTAGTATTATTCGGTATCAATCGTTGTGAATTGTGTCGTGACCAGTACCAATTGGTAAAAATATCGTAACTGAAACAACTGTCGATTCAATTTATGCGTAAACAGAGCTGGCATACATAAAATGGCCATAATTTCAATAAAAAGTTTATCATCAAACTTGATTGTCGATTTAAATGAGGATATTATTGGAATTATCAACATTACCGACGATGAATACATATACATACATCCATACATTTATTACTAAGGAACCTCCTAATATAGCTGTAGTATAATACTCTCTATATTTATTGAACAGTAGGTAACTGACAACCACATGGGTTTTATCAATTGTTTAGTGCATGGAGGCTAACTTCATATGGAGTCCAGCTACAATACAAAAATATTGTCATCAATTCCAGCGAGGCTGACAATACTGATACGTAACCAGTAACTACGCATTCCACATACAACGTGTTTCTATCGCCGTGAACGTGACCGTGAACTAGCTTATGCTCGATACGTCAGCTACGCACACATAAACATTCACGTGTCGAGAGACTCGAGAAGCCTCATAACGAACCTTCCTCCCCCAGTCCACCCCAGCTAGTCTATTATCTATACATTTATAATGCAATTTTTATAAGAAGATTATACCAATGGAAGAAATATGTATTATTCAAAGGGTAGAAGCCGAAAGACCTTGACGATAATGGATTAAACAGATTTACCAGCACGTAACGAGAACTTCATACAATTGAATAGAAAGTAGTGCGTACTAAATGAATAAATCTTGTTTTAATAATAATTGAATTTCTTTTGCAAATGAATTATGGATTTACATTAGTATTATTGAAGCGAGAAGTTTTACTAGTGTATTTTATTTTAACAGTTTTATGAAGGCTCTACAAACCTAAACAAAAACAGGAAACCAGGTATATAATAAGATTCCTTAAAATAGCAAGAAAAGCGTTCACAACTCGTTTCGGAGCTCCAGTGAAGCTCGCAAATCGGTCTTCACCTAGAGCTTTAGGAGCAAAAATAAACGATGCACGTGACTGAAACCAATGTAAAACAACCGAAATACACTGCGTAGCAGAGAAAACAAATACGTTTGATGTTACGCAACATAATTATTGCCAGTTTAACATTTTAAATGAGTTTTATTCAGATCTAGACTAGTTTTATATTGGACTTTAGCCCGGCGTTACGTCTTGGCAGAGTGTGATGTGATACATCTATCCTATATGTATGGTGACAAAGCATTACGATACGGAATTCTCGGTGACGTCTGAATTTGTGAAATCTTTAATACAGAACAAGTATTGTATAGATATGAATCATGCATTTGGCTCATATGATGCAGGTGGGAGATTTCCAAGTGGTATGACCTTAGGTATTCAAAAACTTACAAGGTTCTCCACGCAGACTTGATATGTATCAACAGGAAAATGTTCAATGGATAGGTAAACACCTAAAAGTTAGGGAAACTTATGATCACAAACGATCAGATTAAAATTGAAAGTCATCTTATCCCAAAACGGACAAGGAACTAAAGCTAGTCAAACAACATAACGGGTCATAAGTTATCGGTGTGTGTGATATAAGCCAAAAGCCGCGACCGATGGACTGTTTATTTTTGTTTAACGAAAAATCAAAACATTGTAAGAACATGCGAGACAACGTGATAACCATACTAGTACTATGTATTACGATCTTTTATGGCTTCATGCGAAAGACGCTTCTTCCAGAGATTTCCACACAACCAACTAGAATTAATACAACTGGACATGTTAATAAACATAATTAATTTCAGTTTAGAATAAAATAGAAACAAGTTTTTAGCTTGCCAAATTAGTCATATTAGACAAAGTTCTTTAGTATTTCTTCTATCTTTCGTGTTTTAATATATTAGACTTTGTTTACTCCCTCATTGCCTATCTTTAGAAACCTTTCAGCAGTTGTCAGCTAATGAGAAATGTTTCATTTGTCCCCCAAACGAGTCTCTTCACTTATACACTACATTAGCAATGAAAATTCAATTACCATTTGGCAATGTACGTCGTCGACCTACCTCACGTGGTACTCTTGCGTCAAATGCAGTCACGCCCCTAGCAGTATAAACGAAGTAGAAACCTAAAGCTACCTACGTGAGAATATCTTCTAGGTAAGTACTTAGAAAGTCTATTCGACCTTGTTATCAAAATACTATTAAAAAATATAAAATGTAGTATGGCGTAATAATATATAGAGCTTAGCCCTCGACCGGTTTCTCTTGTTCGTGTATCAGTTACTGAGATATCGTATGCTACGTGCATTTAGAAGCTTACAACTTTTGTATCAGTAATGAGGATAGGAGTCATTGACACTAGTCACTAGACGGGAGCTAAGATAACTCGAATTAGAATTTGAAAAAAGTGGTTTGACGATTTTATTATTGGACTTGGTTTAGTAATGGGAACCTCGTGAATACTGTTATTATTTCCGTGAGGTTTGCATGGGGATAAAACAACATTTCATTACAAGGATGGGGTGAAAACCCGCCTGATTTTATACAAAATAAAAATTGGCAACTCGCAATGTTAACATTATATGACACTGGCAGTGAAGGTTTCCGGTCATCACCCGTGCCAATTTAAACAAAAGACAAAAGGATTTCTCTAAAATATCAAGTTCTCTTTTATTTGTGTTTTTTTTTCTGCTGATCAATTATACGCAATTAAACATTATGAAATGGATGGAAAATCGTATTATCTATCAATCTTCATGTCTTATTAAACAAACAATGCAATCATCGAAACGGCAATGTGACACACTGCCTTCAAATCAATTGTTTACCCCCATTGTTACGACATTCTGTTAAATTTGCTGCCTGTCAATTCAAATGCTACCATGAGTTCGATATTTCTGTTTGTAAATTATTGTATGGAACAATGTGGCTTGAAACATTCACATTCATAATCAGCTTTGAAATTCCTGTAAGCATTCTTTTGCTTGTAGGTGTCCATTATTTACTATAGATTTGAATATAGTAGAAGATAATAATTTATAAAACAGTTAAATTATTCCAAACATATTTTTATAAATAGGTTAATTTATTATATGTAGGTATAGCATTACGATAAATTGACGATAAATTTATTATCTTCATTCCTAAAACTCAACATACTCATTTGGAGAAAAAATGACTAAAAATAAAATAGTTGCTTACATCAAATCAAAATTCATGGCAAAAATCAGTTTGAGGTTTACCCTTTCTATACCTAATTTAATATAATCGATCAAAATGAGTGAAAAGTAGCTAATTCAGATGTAAAGCATGCAATATTCAATCTAGGCACTTTACTGTGTACTGTTCATTCTACAAGTTCATAGGTAAGTCAGAAAATTACAAATGCAAAAAATAATGATAAGTGAGGGAGAATTAATATGCAAATCTTACCTTCATCAGCGGTGAGATCTGCAAACTTGATACCACCACTGCAAAGAAAAAATTAACATGAAATATGATTTACATACAAATACAAATTTGTATAAATTTAATGTCTTCATTCTTATAATATCACTTATGCATTAGTTCCCAATTTCATATGAAAATATCAAATTAACAACTACTGCATTTTTGTGTCGTGCAAGCTTTTAAATTTCAAAAACTAAGACATTTCACAGTGCATACTAATTAAATCAGTATTTAAATTTACATTTTAATCTAATTTTATTTTCTTTTTAGTAATGAATTCAAAACTATTTTTAGTCAATATATTAAATTAGAAGTTGCAAAGACAATCATTTAAAAAATCATGCTATTTAGGTATATGTATTAAAACATCTTCTCAGAATGCTGATTGTCGCAATTTACATGTAATGCTGATTTTTAAACCAAGTATCATAGAAAATGTAAATTTAAAAGCTTGGATTTAAGTTTATAATGCACTGTGTAGTTTTTGTAGCATCGTACCTGAGGAGCACGTTAGCCGTTTCCGGCACCCGGAACACCTGGAAATAAAGACATTGTGGAACCATGTCATATGATCTCCAGGTGGAGACACCACAATTTATAGGGAAAATTGTACATCTGTACAAACTTGCAAAAAGCCAAATGCAAACTTTCTGATGGAGGATTAACTAATATTAGTTACTGAAAGGCATTAGAAATTTTACCACTTGCAATTGTGTTAGAAAATTTAAAAATAAAAGTTGAGATAACAGCTTGACAAAGCTATCTTTTAATGGAATTAAGATTTAACATTTTAACTGTACAATAATTGAAAAGAAGCCAATTTGCAATTCTTGAAAGTAAGATTGAATATATCGAAATTAAAATTTACTTTAGTGTTATCACAGAAAATTTCTTTAAATAACATAAAAAATTAAAATTGTTTTGCTCACCTTCCATCCTAAATTCTCAAAGAAAGTGGAGAGACGGGACTGCCCGGTGGTTTTGCCGCCACACGGTCCTGAATAAAAATACAATGTGGTTTCGAGGTAAAATTTACGACGTCAAATATCCACGTGTTGCGTTTTTCATGAAACCATTTAACTTCATATATAATATTTAATATCCAGTATTTGTGTTAAAATTATTTTTTTTAATTGACTACAAACCAGAACACTAGTATTGATGAAACTAAAAAAAAACTAAGTACTTATAATATAGGAACAATTCTTACCTCCAGTGAGGACCAGCTTGTAAACGATTTTTTGGGATTGATTCGCCATTTTAAAATAAACGCAAAATATATAAATTAAAATTAATTACACTAAGAAGAATACTAAGCACACAAATATCATAAAAATGTTGAATTTACAAAAGTGTTGTAAAGAGCCATCACAATCTAACACGCATCGCCCGTCAGGCGTGCGCTCAAGTGAAAGAGTGAATGAAAAGGAGGCAAGTGATTGACTAAAAATTTTGACGCGCTACGCCGGGTATTGAATCGAATGGTTCATAGACAATGATGAAACCATAGACTTGAAAGAAAACGTTGACAGCAATGCCATCTAGTAAGAACATTTCGTTTTATAGAATCTAAAATCTAAATTTCCCGCAACTTCAGAAATCGGCGTATCTAGGTATCTCGGCGTAGGTAACAATTACCTTACAAGGTATACACCACGCGTCAGTCTTTTCAGAATATAAAAATAATTGCTTTTAAACATTTTTTACACGAATTTATTAAAAAATCAAATTATACCCTTAGTGCTTAACTTTAAAATACATTGATTATTGTTACATTTAGTAACATTAGAAGTTATAACTGATACTTTGAGCTCAGTATAAGATTCATTTTCCTTAGAGATAAGTTCTAATTTTTCTAATTGAAGGACTAATACAGGCACACTCTCCCAATATTTTCCTAAACATCTATTTCTTTTCTCGATGTATACATTTTCCTTGAGGCAAGAAGATGATTCATCATCATCTAAAAAAAATATTGTATAATTAAAACAAAACATTTTATATTTTATTTTTATATTTCATTAAATAGGTAATGAAATCTTACCTTCTAAATCCGAAATGTCATTTTCAATCCATCTTGTTTGTATATTTATGTATATTATTGCGACATTAAACTCATTTGCTATAAATCTGCTATAATTTACCAAGACATTCAAAAAAGATAAACCTGTAAACAATAACATAAAACATGTATAACATAATTCATATATTTATAGTAACAAAAAAGTATATGTAGTTTATACATTATTCAATTAGTTATATAAATAAAGGGTATTAATATTAAAAAATTATTTAGTTCATCAGTTGGATAATGGAAAGAACACTAGAAACATATTCTTATTTCATTGTATAACAAAATAATACCTACTAAGGTAAAATAATTAAAGTTTAGAAAAAGTTGTCATCCCTATTATTGTCATCTTCAACGTAAGAGATTCTTTTAACCTACCCATTTTATTCTCATCTCCAAGATGTTGAAACATCAAGCATGGTAGAGAATCAACAATAACTAGTGCTAAGTTTTCTGCGTCAAATGTCTTATTTTTGATGCCTTTGAATAGCTCTACTAAATCTTCCAGAGTCCATATGTGCACAACTCTAATTCTATACATTATTGATGCCATATCCTGAAATTTATAAAGATTTTTATTAGGTCACTTTGAAAAAAGTTTGAAGTTCACACATTTATTCATATCAGGCATTAAAACACAAGGAAACTTCCATGCCTAGACCTATAAGCATTTGAAAATAAAGTTTACCTTATGTGAGTATCCTTGAGCATCCAACATTCTCTGCACCCGGACTGCAGAGAAATCTCCTTTAGTACCAATATAGAGGACAGTTCTAACATTATCTTTTGCAACATTTATAGCTAACTGGAAGCATAGTTGACTCTTTCCAGAGTCTGCTAAGCCACATATTTCTGTTATATATCTTACTGGAAAACCCCCATTTAGAATTGAATCTAAACTGAAATTTAAAAGAATTATTATGTTATAAATATTAAATTAAAGACCTAATATAGTAACAATACTTATTAATAAAAATACGATGTGCAATGGCAAAAAAAATTACCTTTCAATGACTGAACTTATTCGATTTCTACTTTTATAAACTTTTGTAAGCAAATCCGTGCCATTTATTAAAGGGGCTGAGTATCTTGAAAATATTTCATTCCGTATAGCTAAAATATCATGTAGGCTTAATTTTGTTAAAGATGATAACTTAGATACATCTTCTTGAAGAAAATCCAATAGTGTAATTATCCGATTTTGAGCAAGAGTTCTTATTGTACTCTCGGAAAGGTTCTTAAAATCCTGTGTTTTTAACTTTTGCATTTAATTGACCAAAACAAAACAACACAGATATTCTTTCTTCACTCTTCGTCTTTTCCAAAGTCTAATTATTTTAAAATATTCAGAATATTCAACCAACAAGTTGACAACTTGTTAAAATCAATCAACAAGTTGACAACTTGTTATGGTTTGGTTAACTTTTTTTTTTTTTTTTTTGGAGTTTATGGCCTGGATAAATTTGGTTAACTTTGGTTTAAACTTTAAGCTAGGGATGCGATCTGTGGTCAATTGGGTAATCGAACAAAATCGATTTTTCTAACCAATTTGATACATAGATACATAATCCTTTTAAAATACAACTTAATATTATTTTACAGTGCGGCACCAGTTTATTACTTAAAAACAAAGCGTGTTTATATCATAAATTGACAGTTGATGCGATTGATTAAACACTTACAGACACAATACATGTACAATGTATTTGGGTTGGGTAGGACGCGGAAGCTGGGCAACCGGCTTCTGCGCAACATGTCATGAATTCGATTCCCACATGCAAAAAATATTTGTGTGATTTACAATTTGTGAATTGTACTGAAGATATAATTGATTAAAAGATCGTTAATTATAATATATCGGCTACCCGCCCCGACTTAGCATAGTAGCTATACTGATACTTAATTTATTCACTATTCATTGGAAGTCAAGATTCAAGGCAAGTAAGAAACAAGAGATGTACCAAAATTCGCAAATTGGTGGTTCTTTTCGAGTGCTGTCTCTTTTACTAAGAACCTGGAGCTAGAAATCTTCTGACGGCTATTGGCGATGTAAAGATTATCCGTCGTCGTCATTTTTGGAAACATCGACAGTTCACAGCATAATTAGGTATTGTCTTAGGGCTGACTTTTAATGGTTAGATAAAAGTTAAGTACCTGTGGAATAATAACGATGCTGTCGCGTCAGAATGTCTGTATAAGACAGTGACAGCAACAATTTTATTCCTCAGATAACATTTATCTGACTATTGAAAAATCAGCCCATAAACAGCAAAATGCCACTGAAATCTGATTTTTATTTATAATTAATTTTTTCCCTGACGTTAATTGTTAACTTTCAAAGTGCCGTTCTTAGACAGCTTCACAATTTTGACACTAGAGACGCTAGTTAGAATCGAATTGCATCGCCAATAGAGGATGAAACAGCCTCTGTACCAAATGGCCTTGTCGGCTTTTCAAGCCTGTGCTGGTATACACCAAAGACGCATAATATCACCGCTCCTATTCGATGTTTACATCGAGTTATATTCAATGTAATCAGGCTTGGTAATCGTTTGCACAGGCTATGTTTGCATATTTGTTATATGTTTGTATGTTTTGACCACACGAGACTTTGCCGCGCTCTTCTGCTATTACCTAGATTATGTTCTGACAGTTTGAATATTTTTGCGCCCTACCTAAATGTCCTCTTGGTCGGTATTGTTCGGCAGAATACTCAGCTACAATAACCGTTAATTGAACAGCTAGTAAACTGACACTCGTGTGCCTACCTTTAGATTAGAATGGATCCTCTTAAACCACATAGTTTTTCACCGATCATTTTACTAAAAAGATCACTACAGACACGACGTTCACACACATTATTTTTACATTATCTCTAAGGAGTCTAGGTACATAAAAATAATGAGTTCTTTTTGTTTTCGGTATTTCTTAGTTCTTAGAGTAGCCTGTTAGGAAATGCAAACTTATCGTTACATTTACTTTGTCGGTACATGAACCTAACCAATACATCATAGGTCAAATGTGCGGAGTTTTTGATGCTCTTGTTTCCAGGTTTTGTTAGTTAATTTATTTTTTGTGTTTTAAGTTTTTGTTGTTTATGAAAAATGTGGTAGGAAATAAAAATGTACACTCGAAGGTATTATTTCGAATAATACCTAAGTATCAAATAATTTATTTGATACTTTGGTATCGATATAGATGCTGTCTGGGTATTATCAACATAAACCTAATGTGCTTGCCGGGGTTGCGGGGTAAGCGCAATGAGGTACCGCGACCTCGGCACAGAGCAGGAGAAGGAACAGGGGGGTTTTTTAGTCAGTAAGAGTCTGACACTCCCTCCTGCCCGGCCCTGGGCGGGAGAAGTCATTTGATGATTTTCCCCTCACAAAAAAAAAAAACCTAATGTGCTTCCCTGGACCATCTCATATTGGATCCATTTGACACTTGACAGTTGGAGAATGAATGCCAAGTTGTGGCTCGGAGGCAAGGAATATAATAACTCTCTACGAGAGCTCGGAGGTTAGGCACCCACTTCAGGTCATTAAGTCAGAGATAGAACGTTGTGTTTATATACTGCGCTCTCTCGCGGCAAGACAATACAGGCCACGGTTACATAATATTTCTGCACAAACATGTGCTCATGCTCAACCAATGCTGCACGTAGTGTAAACGTAGTGGTTACATACTCTTTGCAATGCTGAATTCTAATCTAGCACTGACCTCTATAATAACGCTGGACTGGCTATTGGTACCAACTTTTTGTGCCTATTTGAAAATCGCCATTTTGGCGCTGACGGCAGAAGTGAGGGGGAATGGAACTAATACTAGTGTTGACAACAAATGGTTTGATATCGATAAAAACTTTACTGATATCGACAACAATTACAAAAATATTACTGACGATATTTTTAATATTAAATTGGTTTAGGTAAATTTTATTTAAACACCTAAGTGTAATAATAAACAATACGTACAATCAGGGGTCAAAAATGCAATCACACTCTACCAATTTTAAAATGACAAATGTTTTGTAGTAAAAGTTCAATGGTTCACAGCTAGTTTATTTTATAGCATAGAATCTAAATTATTGAATAAACTGGCTGTACATAGGACATATAGGTACATAAGATTTTTTTTTTAAATATGGTTTGTAACATAAAATACGTTCAGACTTAAATAACTATCACACAACACCGTCTAGTCCCAAGTTAAGCAGAGCTTGTGTTATGTATCAGACAGCTGAGTGGGAATCGAACCCATGATCTGCGGCATAGCAGACAGAGCCACTTACTACGAGACAAACAAACTTATCTGTAATAATAGTATCTACTAGTTTCTGGACTGTAATCAATAGGTATCACGTGTCCGGTTGACCCGTTCTTTCATTTCATTGTTCTTCTTGATTGGATAAAAGTTCACTATTGAATTAATAAATAATAAAATTACCCTTCATAGAATGTATAACTCTATGGTAAGGGATTAATTTGCTTGCGCATGGCGACGTGGGATATCTAACTAGTAAGATATCCCATGTCGCCATGCGGTACAAGACACAATAATTACTATTAGATCTGTAATTACGGTAATAAACTTCTAACAGCTTAACTACTGCAAGGGAAGGGACAGGGAAATTAAAAAAGCATATTTAAATCACATATTTTATTATTTAAAAAATATCGTCGAGCCCATTTTATCTGCTGGGTCAAAAAATGTCTTACTTTCTCTCCAGTTACTAATAAAAAGTATTTTTTTGTTTCTGCGTACAAATGGATGTCAATATATTTGGTTATTATTTCTTTTAAAAGAACATGATTATGAAAATTGTCTGAGACATAACAGACTGTCTCTCAAGTGATCTTTAAGGAAACAGTTCATTGGTTTTCGTTAAAAGGTTGCTTATTGACTTTCATATCGATCGAATTATAAAGCCTCATTAATATTAGAATCAGGTATTGAAACTTTCGACTGAGAAACCTGGATTGGCCTCAATGGAACTATACCATTAGCGTATCACACGAGGATGAGGCAAAGCCAAATTAAACCTATTACGCACATATGCATATGCCTTTGGCGAATAAAAATGTAAAGAAATGGCAAATTATCTTAATTCTGGAGATTACTTTAAACGTTTTACATTTTTGGTTATTCTTTTAAAAGGTTGTGATTTGAAATCATCATACTGATTTAACATATAAATACAATCATCACATCCCAGTTTCTTTTGGTTTAAATCAGCAATTACAGATTTTAAAGTAGACACAGTAATTTTCATACGTTTAATATTTTGTGACAATACTTTAATTCGAGCTTGTGACATTTTCAAGGTTTTTAGACCCTTTCCAATTTATTTTTTGAAGATTTTGGGGTGTTCTCGTAGCTGTGATCTAATTTGACACTAGAAATGATTTCCGCTAAAGTTCTAGATTCTGTTGGTGTGCTACAGTAACTTGTGTTGTAACTTGTGCTTGGAACTGTAACAAGAAATTATATTTCATTATTTATATTATTCAAAGAAAGATAATAATTAGATAGTAAAAATATGTTTCAAAATATTGGGAAAGGTATGTCATCATCATCATTTGAACGGAAAGATGTTCACTGTTGGACATAGGCATAAAAATCCCTAAGTGTACATAATTTTCACCTCTTAAAAATTGTTTAGTATTTACCCACTGTTAGTTGCAAACTTAGTACTTCAGCAAGCCATGCTCAGTATTTATAAAATTTTCTAAAATAACTTACCTGCAAGGGCTTCACATGGCAACATTTACTTTTCATGGACTTCATCATTTAGTAACCCAACTTGTACAGGTACTGATGGTGAATTAAATTCATCCAAGCTCATTTCAATATCTTTCTCGCTTTGGTATTCTGTTGGTTGATCAGCTTTTAGACATCTCAGTTTGTAATAAGGTTGAATTGGTTTCTGTAAAAATGTGTTATTTTATTACAAATATATATAAATTTAGGTTTGGTAGATCACTCAATAAAATTATTAATCATAAATGTTAAATTATTCGTTATTGACTCTGATAATTATAAACCTTGCAATGTTTTGCTATTATTAGAGATCATTATATTGTGCATATTATTATTCTACAATGAAGGTAAATATTTTTATTCAATTAAATTCTTATTTAGGCCTTTGTGGAAAACACACACACACAATAATACTTATGAATTGTTAAAAAACCATCAAGAGCTGTGTCGTATTTGACGCAAATTAATATTAAAAATATAAAATATTTTAATTATGAATAAAATAAAACATAGCATCTGGTTTTATTACCTACTCCAGACGAAAGTATCGATATATGAACTTTACCATCCCTATCAAAGGTTAGACTTTCCTTTATGGACCGTCGATTTTGGGGTCAAAATGGGGGGAGGGGGGAGGGGGGAGGGGGAGGGTGAGGACTACCCCCCAGGCCAATCCCCACCCCGCGGAGCCCTATGGTTACGGAGATATCCATGGTCAAAGTTTGTTAAAATTTTGAGGTTAGGAAAGATTTTCCGGATAGTTTGTATGTATGTATGTATAACTTTAGAATCGTACCGCAGTGGGGAGGATGCCCCCGTCCCCCAGTACCACTCCCATGACAAGGCAACTCACAGTTGCCGAGAAATACGATTTTTTATAACCTTACCTCAAAACACTAAAAGTCACTTAATAGGCAAAGTCTACGCGGGCTCCTACTTCTGGGTGGTTTGCAACATGCAGCAGGCATGGCTTCTGTCACGGCTCCGGCGCTGCGGGGCTCCGGCGGTCCCACGCGAGCTAATCGTCGCAGATGGTTTTACGCCCATCACCGCGGCTTCGGCTTGCCTAGCCTCAGCCACGGCGATGTGCGTTATAACCACCTGCTCCTCAGCTCGCGGGCCGCCCCGCCCCTCCGCGCCTTCGCGATTTTAAAAAACACTCTCGGGGTAGGGCAGAAAAGAGACCACGTAAAGTCGGTTTCGCAGCAATTCATTTCTGTCACTAACTTTTATAGCACATTAAAAACATTATGCCAAAAGACAATGTATTAATTATTTCAATATAACCTATATTCAATAGGAAAACTCCAAAAAAAAAACAAAAGAAGTCAACAACACGCGAAACGTCAAATTTGGCGTGAATTTTTCAATAGACTTTACAATTTTTAAATAATTATATCTCGTAAACCGTGAGTTTCCGCAACATAAAAATTTGTAAAAAGCCTTCTGTTAATGTGTACTATCTACAAAAAAAAAAATGAACGCTCAACTCGACGGTCCATAAAGGAAAGTCTAGCCGAATACACTGCTTTAAGCGTTTCCTACTAAGTATTTATATTTTAGATTCACTTACTTGTGAAAAGTGACGCCACTGCTCTTTTCGTATCGTGTTTTACAATATACGCACGATTTCATGTTGGTCCAATAATAGAAGCTATGATACAATAACTGTCACTATTATAACACTTAATTTATGTCACAATCGCAGTAAATACTTTAAAAAACGTATTATTCCGCAAAGATACTTCGCATTTAAACAACAAACAACGGCCATTTGCAATTTAATTAGTTCTCAGTACTCTCACCGGGGCGCTTTGAATCGGCACAGAAAATAGCTGTCATTTTGTTAGGGATAGCCCATTGAGATAGAAAATATATAGAGGCGCCGTGTTACTATAGAAGTATACATGCTTATACAAATATGAGGGAAATATGAAACAAACTATGAAATATCATTTTTTCTCACTCTTTCTAAGGCAATAATTGTATTAGACAAAAGGGACAACAATATTTAAGTTGTTGCTTAATATGGAAACAAATCATTTTGACATTAGCAAAGTTGTAGGTAAGTGCCATGTCCGCCATCTTAAGCGCTCAGAGTACCTGAGTTTCATGGTAGTTGTCCTGTCAAACAGTTGTTTATGTTTTAAATTATTGCGGTTTTTCAGTAAATTACAAAGAACCATTTTTTTAAACTTCAAATATATATAGTGAAACAAAAAAACAATATGCCTGTGTGTTGTATTGTGCAGTGTGGTGCAAAAAAGAACGAAAATCAACCTCAATTGTCTTTGTATAGGTTAGTAAACAGTTTTCATCAAATATTACTTAGAATAATCCACATAGATAGAAAAAAATGTCACGGATACTTTAATCTATTGCCAAAGTATATATATTTACTTTTATTTCTGTCTGTGAGACAGTTTTAGTAAAAAATTGTTGTTTACAATAATATGTCAATATGGCATAGTTACGTACCATTTCACAAAAGTATCGATATAATCTCCCATTTAAAATTCAACATATGCAGGGTGTAAGGGACAGCCCTCCACAAATTAACAGGGTGCATTCAGCTCCTTATTCTGAATCATATTCCAGTGAAAATTCTTTCAGGAAAATTTTCAATTTTTTTTTCGTTTTTTCAGTTCCTACACCTCTATTTCAATGTATAATTACATTCTATGTATGAAGAATAACATTAATGTAAATAACACAGCTAAAACAAAAAAATACGCAATGGTTGTGTGAATTCTCTAAAGAACTACGCATGAAATCAGCTGTTCAATTTCTACCTAGCGCGAGTCGTTTGAACTCACCGCACCGCGGTCACGGCGCATCGGCTCGGCGCCCCACCGCGCCGATCGCCGCGCCGCGCGCCGTAGGTATAATACCTACGATCCCGTCCAACGTACAGAATAGCTGCGTCCCTTTCTATCGCCCCGCCTCCGCGTCTCCCCGTCTCCCCGATTCTTTGCACAATGTTTGCCCGATTGAACCAGTGTTGCCAATTTTTAACTTTTGTTACCTCAGGTAGTAAACGAAAATGTTAGAACTAGCGAAATTTATCTAAAACTTGAGAACTCCTTTGCATTCATAATTACGTTGATGAGATTTTCATTAATCAATTAATGAAAATCTTGTCGCGCACATAAATTGAATAAGAAATAAATAAAGATTAGTCTAGTTTTAATTTTAAAGCATTTACAAATACTACCTAATTTATTAATTGATTGTTCTTTTTAAGCGATTACTGGCTAGTTTTTAAACTACTTACAGATTTTTACATGGCTTCACAATAGCCATGAATTGATAGTCGAGCCAGAAATTAAACACAATCTCCCTGGAATGGAAGCACAGCTTTCTATCACACTGCACTTTTATTATTCTAAATTAACTAAACAATGAAATTAGAATTAAATTGATTTAATCAATTCATTTCTCTACAAAAAGTGACAGAATGATAAATGACGACCATGCATAATTTTTTATTTTTTACCCCGAAATTTTGTAATTTTCGTGTAATTGGCAACAAAAGATTTATGTCTGTGTGTGTCTCATCACATGCAGTCGCCATTGTGCCTTGTTGCGATGTTATTGTTTGTGTACCGCGAGCGTGTATCGGTACGGATCGCTCGCGCATTCGGCTTAAAAGTTTTGTTATAAGTAGTGTTGTTAAGTTTTATTAGTTATGTAGTGTGTGAAGTGTAGTGAAGTTTTGTTGTAGAAATTGTGCGAAATTACTATCTAGGTACGTTTAGCGCGCGTGATTATGGGGAGATGATAATGTGTTGTAGTAGTGTAGGTATCCTGACCGTCGCCATCCATCAGACTCCAGGATAATTACTGGTGACTATCAACGCTTGCTAGAAAAGCAGCCCATTGTTCCCAGACAAAAAGGCGCCGGAAGACCAATACCTACGTGGATTTTGGAATTGGTTCGCTAACGTAACGAGACGCTACCACTTATTAGTGCTTTCCTATTTAAACGTAGTTTAGGTAGGTTTGGACCGCAACCGTGGCCAGCACGATCCCCAGACCTAACCCATTTGGACCCCTTTTTGTGGGGTTACGTAAAAGAAAAAGTGTTTGTGAGTGCGTGTGTAAGTGAGTACGAAATGCGAGACCGCATCACAAATGCTTTCCAGAGCCGGAAACCGGAGCGATTCTAAGGTACCTACGCATTTTTCTTTTTTTATCATTTATCAGTTACCATGTTATGATTGTTAGATTTTCTTTTGTAAGTAATGCAGCTATCTTTTAAATAATAATTTATTGTTATTAAAACGTGGCGCGAGCGCGATTATTACATTGTCATTTGTAAGTAATGCGGCTATCTTTTAAATAATAATTTATTGTTATTAAAACGTGGCGGGAGCGCGACCGTTTGTCTGAACGTAAGGTCGCGGCGCTGCCATAGTGTAAAGTAATAATACTAAAAGCGCTGCCGTTCGCTGCGTGCGTTTGCGGTGGTAGCGATACATTGCGTGTAAGGTAATGAAACAAATCGGTTTAATTGGATTCCCATAACGTTCCTGAAATAATTTCATGTACCGGTCAACTTAAGACGATATACTGAATCCACCCTATCAGTTTGTGGAAGGCTGTCCCTTACACCCTGTATTATACTAAATAATCTATTTTAACAATGGATGTTTCCGCAGTTTTGTGTAACGCTAAAGTAACACGTCAGTATTTTGGTATTGGTTTTAGTTACATAAGTAGAAGTTCAAATTATCATGTTTTATAATTATACGGGCGCGATTGACAGAGCGGCGTTGGCGACGATCCCAGTGCGACCACCAAGCGTAATAATAAAAAGTGAGATACATACAATAAGATTGACTTCACTACATATCTATTTTGTGTAGTTTCGAAGATATCATCGTTTAATCAGACGCGCCGAAATTGTGCGCGAGCACTTCACAAATACCCACAGGTTTTCCACATATATTAAGATAAACATTTAACAAACACTATCTTTTTCTATTTCACCATTCCATTAAACGCTGTTCATAAACACAGTCCTATTTTTTTAAAAGACGCTTTACGTAGAATTATATGAATACAAATTCGACTTGAGAAAATCATTAGCCAATCAAGAGACCAAGTTAACCAGGGTTCCGGGCTCTAGCTAGGCCGACGGCAAAGTAGGAACAGGAGTTGATTTTAGTCAGTAACGGTCTGTCCCGAAAAAGGCCGGAGATGACATTAGATGATTTCCCATAAAAAAATACCGTTAATCAACTGGCTAATCCCTAAAACTATACCTACGTAGAACTTTTACTCAAATGGTATCGATACTCGTTAAATACTTAGTCGGCACAACCCTAGCAACGGCAGCCATCTTATGCGACATTTTGGATTGTAGGTAGGCACCTTTTTTTCGTAGGTATTTCAAGTCCATATATTTCCTATGTCAATGGGATAGCCAGTCCAGCGTTTATTATAGAGGTCAGTGTAATCTAGCCATAGAGCTTGAGGTTGAACATAGACTACGAATGAATGATAGAACTCGCAAGCACTTCGATACAACCTCTTTTGCTCCTCTACCGACGCCCGCCATTTGTGTTTGCTGTCAAACGATGTAATGTCGTGGAGTTGTGAATAAATTGCGATTGTTGCGGCGTAATTACATAGGATATTTTATTTTGTTAAGTTTTATTTTAATTTTCCAATATGTCGAATGCATCGCTTGATAAAGAAACATTTTATCGGCGCATGAAGAAGCTGTATGCAGCATGGAAGGTCGGTAACTCTTCATCTACTGATGTCACCGTTTTTGAGGGCCCGCTGTAGAGTAATTGCATGTGTTACAGGCTGCTGCAGCTGATTCAAAGAGCGATGATGCCTTGGCGAAAGTCGATTGCCTGGTATCCTGCGTCGGTGTTGACGAAGACACGCTTTACAGCAAGTCAACAGCTCTACAGGTTTGCGCGAGTTTTATTACTTCTCCATGTGCTTACCAACGAAATTTTAACAAGTAAACGCTTTTTATGTGTTTAATTTGTAGACATTTTACTTACAAATGCGTCTTTGTTTGACATTTGATTTGTTATTTTGTTTTAACACTATAAATTCATAAGTTGTATCAGCTATGAGATTCCATCCATTTATGACACTGGTATGAAAATCTTATATGAAATGTACAAAAGTATATTTTGATATATGCTAGCCATGGTAATTGCAAAACATTTAGAGTAACAATATTGTTTCTGTAAATAATATATTGAACATGTCTTTACTTCAGTTGGGTTGTAATATGTCTGAAATTTAGCTTTGTTGTGAAGTGATTATTCAAAATAATATTTTGGTCAGTGTGTTGTTAGGGGCGGATTAGTTATTTATTTTAAATTGTGATTCATACATCCAGTTTCAAACAAGCTAGTGGGGCATTTATAAAAGTTAAAAACAAAACAAATTAACATGATTTTTATAAGTTTTTAATTTTAACAACACCTATTAGTTTCATTTGTCAGTCTGGTGTTGGTATGTAATTATAGTAATGGACAAGTAAAAGGATTGCCATTAAATGTCATCTTTTACTAGAATTTTATTTTGACTATTGTTATTAAATACATTTATATTCCATTTACATTCTATCTAATTGTGTATCATGTTATTGTCTACTACCATAAAGCTCTGGTATTAGCAGCCTTATCCAAAATCAAACATTTTACATGCCATAATAAACATGACAATAAATCTGAAGACACTGACGAAAGTTGAAAGTGAAGACTTCTTCTGGAATAGTATTTCCTTATTCCACCCTGTGTCTGACTTCAGTGTTTTGGGCCTCACAAATGTCGCTGTAGGTTTGGTGAGAGCTAGTAGAAGAAAGTTTGTCCTTATCATCTTGCTATTTATAGGTATTAAGTATGATAAAAGCATTGTATGTACTTTACTTCATAAATAAATGACTGTCTGTAGAAGTTAAGAATCTATTTTAGTTTGAATTCTTATATAATAAAACTGACTCGATATGATATGATGATTTAAGTTAAAGGAGATAAAATTAAAAAAGAAACTCCATTTTCAACCAGAACTATGAGCAACACCCTTAGTAACTTCTTGACAAACTTCTTGAGAAGCAGACTAAGTATATAAACCATGACCTCATTGGTAGACCCTCTTTGTACATAAATGTGATTTGCACACTGTGTTATAAGATTCAGCCAATCAAGAATAAGTTTTTAAAAAGTAATCTATTGCTCAATCAAATGTAAAATCTAGTATTTGTTATGCAATACTTGAACAGTGCCAGTAATGGTAAGTAAAGTTAACAAGAAGCAGGAATAATGTAAAATGTTATGTCGAGGACTACTAGGGTCATTGATTTGAAACAATATGGTCGTTTGTCAAATTCAATACTTTTATCTAAACATCAAAAACGATACTTTTCTATGAAATTTGTATAAAAAACTAAGTTATGACATCATAACATTTTTGCTATGCATGCATTTATATTATAAGCTAAAAAAATCTAAAAAATAGTGTATTGATCGATCAATGAATAAAAGTATAGTTATTTTTCAATATTTTATTGTATTGAAACATCAAATTAATTTATTATTGACCCAGGAAACTACCCAATTCTAGAACCCTAGCCATGATAAATCAATTTTGGGGCAAGGGCTGGTAAAGTAGGCCATTAGTTATATTTATGATTTTTAAAAGATGAAAGAAATTTTATGATGTTACTATCCATTGATTTATTCCACTGAGGAAGGTATTGTAGTTTTCCATTAGAAGATAATACTACCAGGTATATTTTAACTTGTTGTAACATGTTTAAATGGTTTGGAAGCAAAATTTCTATATCTAAATCATGCTGATACCCCCCAGAGGTGATGTGCAGCTACAAGACTCCTCATCTAAACTTAGCCCTCCCAAAGACTTCCAAATCAACATGAATCAGTTTAACTTAAATTATTTCCTTTTTTATCAGACATGGCTGTTTGGTTATGAGCTGCCTGACACCATAACAGTTCTCACAGAAAACAGTATGTGTTTTCTCGCAAGCAAAAAGAAGATTGAATTTTTAAGACAAATTGAAAATGGAAAGGAGGAAACTGAACTGCCACCAGTGAAATTACTTGTTAGAGATAGAGTAAGTACAGGAATAAAAAACAATATAATAAATATTTTGTTGCTCAGTATATAGGTATTTGTGTAGTATCTAGAATTCTAGACTGGAACAAGAAGAGTTTTTTTGATGATCTGTGTCAGAAAAATCTGTTTAACTTGTAATAAGTAATGAACCACGTGTAAATAACTAGTGTGTCTGTTGTGCACATGTCTGATCACTAGGCATGTTTTGGTACAACAATAATGTCTCTACAACGAAACATGTGATTACAAAAGTTAATGATTCTTTAGGATATAGCATGTACCAAATTATAAATATTTTGTTTGCAAAAATTTCCATGACTCACATTCATTATTTTTCTAGAACGACAAAGATAAAGAAAACTTCAACAAATTAGTACAAGAGATAAAAAAATCAAAATCAGGCAAAACCCTCGGAGTTTTCGCCAAAGATAATTATCCCGGTGAATTCTGCGAAAGCTGGAAAGCTGTAATGAAAGGTGAAAAATTCGAAAATGTAGATGTAAGCTCAGCTATTGCACACCTAATGGCGCCGAAAGAGGATTCCGAAATAATAACTGTAAAGAAAGCTTGTATGGTCACAGTCGACGTCTTTACAAAGTATTTGAAAGACCAGATTATGGAAATTATTGATTCTGATAAGGTAAGCCTATAAATATGTTTTTTGTTTTCCTAATGTAAATTATAAACAATGAATATTTGATTCTAACCATTTTATTGCGTTTACAGAAAGTGAAACACTCAAAACTCGCAGAGGGCGTGGAAGCAGCAATTACAGACAAGAAATACGTGACAGGGGTAGACACAAGTCAAGTGGATATGTGCTATCCTCCCATTATACAGTCCGGAGGAAATTACAGTCTCAAATTTAGTGCAGTGTCAGACAAGAACCATTTACATTTTGGAGCTATTGTCTGTTCCCTGGGCGCCCGATATAAATCATACTGTTCAAACATAGTTCGTACTCTACTCGTCAATCCTACAGATGAAATTCAGAGCAATTATAATTTCCTGTTAAATATTGAAGAAGAAGTTATGAAGAAATTGGTTGCCGGCGCTAAACTTTCCGCTGTCTATGAAGCTGGTTTAGAATTAGCGAAAAAAGAAAAGCCCGATTTAGTTGAGAATCTTACAAAGTCCTTTGGGTGGGTACATTTAATTTACGTAATTAGCAGAAATTGCGAGTTTTTTTCAACTGATTGTTTTGATATAGATGTATAGTAAATATATTAAAAATACTTAAGTACATATTTATTTATGTATTTCAGGTTTGCCATGGGCATAGAATTTCGTGAAAGTTCAATAATTATAGGACCCAAAACGAACACAGTGGCTAAGAAAGGAATGGTGTTTAATATTAACATTGGTTTGGCGAACTTGACCAATAGCGCTTCAACAGAAAAGGAAGGCAAGGTATGACATCTAACATTTTGGAATAGATTGTTAAGTATGTTAGACCTTTTAGATTGTTAAGTATTTATGTCTCCATGTGATATTATTGATTATAATTATAGAATTGTAAGTGTACATGAAATACACAATTAAATGGAAAATGTATTCAATACATCACCATAAAAAGTAGTTTACCTAAATGTAACTTGCTACAGTATTAAACATAGATAGGTACTTATTTGATAACATGATTGTAATTTCCAGACATACGCACTTTTCATTGGTGATACAGTATTAGTGAACGAAGAACAACCAGCATCCCTTCTGACACAGTCAAAAAAGAAAATCAAGAATGTCGGTATCTTCTTGAAGGACGACGATGAGGAGGAAGAAGAAGAAAAGGAGAACAAGACTGAAATACTTGGTAAGTGAATATACTTGACAGGGGAGATTGAACTTTATGTCCTGGGCAGAAGGTTGGATGCTATTGTGTTGTGTAAGTGATTGGTCAAAGTAAATGGAACCTTGTGTTTGGGAGAGATGCTAGTTGTGGATATGTGAGGTTTATTAGGCTGTTGTGTGTCGAAGAGTGATGTTTCTTTACAGATGGAGCGACTTTTGCGTCATTTCTATTACAATGTTCAAAATTACTTGTAACAAAAGTATAGAAGGAGATACAGTAAATCAGTCAGAAATTGTAGGTTGTCTTGAACTTAAGATGTTATTGCATCAGTTGGGGCTATCACATGCACCCAAATTTATTTGAAGAAGTAATTTAACATTTTGAAATCTAGTTTGCATGTTATTAAAAATTTAATGAGTGATACTTAACTCAACTCAAATATTAATAAAATTGTTTTTATTACAACTGCTATTGCTATTGCTTAACTATCTAATTGTTTCTTTAATTTAAGGATATGATGTAAAAAAAACTGAAGAATGGCAGATTGTATGTTGAATGATTTTTCTATTTAAATATCTACCTGTGTAATATTTGTAAAAGCTTTCAGTATATATAGATGCTAAACTAACTACAAAATGATGAACTGGAGTGTTTTATACTTACCTATTTTTGTTTCATTACATGCTATCGGAAATCTTTATAGAGAACGGAGGTGAGTTGCTACTGTATTTTGACTTGGAAACCAGTAATTTATATTTTTCATGCATTACATTTGTAGGCTGTGTACAGACTTAGCCAATTTTGCACTTAAAATGGTTTAATTAGAATTTTAAAATGGCAAAAAAACTAAATCTATCGTAATTGGTTTACTCTGTACTCAGCAAAGAGTCACGCTTCATAAAAATCTGTGTACAAAATGATCAAATTATTTAAACACAATATCATTTCAGGCAGAGGTAAAAGAACAGCCGTTATCGAATCAAAACTGCGCACGGAACATTCTTCTGAAGAGAAACGTAAGGAACATCAAAGGGAACTGGCCATTACTCTAAATGAAAAGGCTAAAGAGAGATTAGCGAAACAGTCGAGCGGGAAAGAAGGGGAAAAATTGAGGAAAAGCACTATCTCCTACAAGAGTACCAGCCAGATGCCGCGGGAGAATGAAGTAAAGGAACTCAAGTTGTATGTTGGTGAGTATTGTAGAAAAATAAACCATTAACTAAAATGTCTACTTTGATTCTGTAAAACTTGATTATTTTAGTGAAAATGCTTATGTAAATAAGTATTTTAACAACATTCTTAATTATAAAAACTCTCATTGTATTTATTGAAAACGCCAGACGCCATGTTGCTGCGGCATAATTTCGTCAGTTATCTGTCTTGATAGACACTAGACTATCCCCATGGCATAGTATCATTATGGTCACTGTTTAAGACATCACAGCTGTAAGATTAAAAACTAAAAATGAGTCAAGAAAAAATGCTTGTATTATAAGCGTATTTTTTATATTACAGATCGCAAATATGAAACAGTGATATTGCCAATATTCGGCGTGCCTGTACCATTCCATATATCGACGATAAAGAACATCTCACAGTCTGTGGAGGGCGACTACACTTACCTTAGGATAAACTTCTTCCATCCTGGAGCCACCATGGGTAGGAACGAGGGTGGAAACTACTCACAACCTGATGCTACATTTGTTAAAGAAGTGTAAGTACATTATGTGTAATTTATTATTTTTCTTTTGAGGGGAAAATCATCCAATGACGTTTCTCGCCCAGGGTAGGATGGTGTGTCAGACTCGTACTGACTATAGAACCCTGTTCCTTCTCGTGCTCTAGGCCGAGGCTGTGGTGCCTTATTGCGTTTACCTCGTAACCCCGATGTGTAAATTTTTTGCTGTTCTGTTTTCGTGGAAAAAATCATTTGTGGGAAAAAAAACCCACTGCGGTTACTGTCAACTTCAAAAACTCTTTTCCTATTACAGAACATACAGAAGTACAAACACAAAGGAACCAGGCGAGATATCCCCTCCCTCCTCCAACCTTAATACTGGCTTTAGACTTATTAAAGAAGTACAGAAAAAGTTCAAAACAAGGGAAGCTGAAGAGAGAGAAAAGGAGGACTTGGTTAAACAAGACACACTGGTTCTTTCGCAGAGTAAAGGCAATCCGAAACTTAAAGATCTGTACATAAGACCTAATATCGTAACAAAGAGAATGAGTGGCTCCCTAGAAGCACATACAAATGGATTCAGGTTCACATCAGTGAGAGGAGACAAAGTGGACATTTTGTATAATAATATTAAGAACGCATTCTTCCAGCCTTGTGATGGAGAGATGATTATACTGTTACATTTCCATTTGAAACATGCTATTATGTTTGGTTAGTAAACTAAATAATAAAAAAAAAATCGTATTAAACAACAATGAAATAACACTAAACTGTGTCCTTCAGGTAAAAAGAAACATGTAGACGTGCAATTCTACACGGAGGTGGGTGAGATCACGACTGACTTGGGCAAGCACCAACACATGCACGACCGAGACGACTTAGCGGCCGAGCAGAGTGAAAGAGAACTCAGGCACAAACTCAAGGTTGCTTTCAAGAGCTTCTGCGAGAGAGTCGAGAATATGACAAAGCAGGAGGTCGAGTTTGATACACCTTTCAGGTAAGATTGAATAAACAATTTTATTATATAAATTGTGATTAAGGAGTAATACAGAAAGTATTGCATTTCTTTTGTGACTACATCTGAAAAGACTCTTATTATTTACCAAAAAGTTTACATGCTTCAAAGTAATACTTAAAACTGTTCTTATTTTACAGAGAATTAGGTTTCCCTGGTGCCCCATTCCGAAGCACAGTCCTTCTTCAACCCACATCCGGAGCACTCGTCAACTTGACGGAGTGGCCACCATTTGTCATAGCTTTAGAAGATGTCGAACTGGTACACTTCGAGAGAGTGCAGTTCCACCTCAAGAACTTCGATATGGTATTCGTTTTTAAGGACTACGCCAAGAAAGTTGCCATGGTTAACGCTGTGCCTATGAACATGCTGGATCATGTAAAGGAATGGCTTAAGTGAGTAGTATGTTGTACATTAATACATGTCCTTAACATTATCAGTCCATTAAAAGACTATAGACATATATTATGAAAAGTATTTATAAATGTTTAACAAAGCTTAATAGTTTACTGTTTTCCTTCTCAGCTCCTGTGACATCCGCTACTCGGAAGGTATTCAGTCACTGAACTGGACGAAGGTCATGAAAACTATTACCGACGACATCGAAGGATTCTTTGATAACGGTGGCTGGTCATTCTTGGACCCGGAGTCAGATGAAGAGAACGCCGAAAATGTATGTTAACCATATTATTTTATGTATTAGTCATTATTAAGTCACTTCATTGTTGGTCAAGTAGTTGAACCAATATTACGTGTTTGGGATTTCAATCAGAGGCTCTTTGATTTCTAGGCCGTTCAAACCATTGTTTTGATGTAATAAAGAGAATTGCACTAGTCTATGGCAATAGGTGCTATATCTACTTCTGCCCACTAGTCAAAACCAATCAGGAATAAGATAAAAAAGGAGAAAAAAATTACAATTTGTATTTATTATAGGATGAATCGTCAGAGGAAGAAGACGACGCGTACGAGCCTACAGATGCGGAGACAGAAGAGGACTCGGACGATGGCTCTGAGTACGATTCTGAAGCTTCCGACGAATCTGATGCATCTGGCGACAGTGATGGTGAGTTCCATACATCATTCTTTATCTCAAGTTACTTGTATTTGTCCTTTAGCACTTCAAGAAGTATAAAACTCAAAAAGTGTTTTATACCATTCCTTTCATGTCCTTCTCAATCTATTGTTTATCACATGAACGCATAGGCAATCTTTTTATTAACTGTTTTTTTTTATATTTATATTAACAGGTGAAGAAGATGAAGAATCCGGAAAGGACTGGTCTGATCTTGAACGTGAAGCTGCCGAGGAGGACAAGAAAGAGCGAGGGTATGATCGAAACGAAACTTCCGAGTTTGATCGCAAGCGCAAGGGCGGCCGTGGCGGCAGTCGGTACGAGGACGAGGGCCACAGCAAGAAGGGCAAACATGACAAGTCGTCGAGCAATCACAAGAGCTCGTCCAATCATAAAAGCTCCAGCTCCAACCACAAAAGTTCAAACCATAAGAGTCCGTCAAAACATAATAGCAGCAGGTTAGTAATGATTATTTACTTATTTAAGCGGCGCGGCAGTCGAATACATGACTATGCCCCGAGTTGACTTGTTGAATGTTCACCTGTTTTAATTACATCATGTCTTCCCCAGTCCATCAAAGAACCGCGACAAGCACCACAAGTCGTCCCACCACGAGCGCGACCGCGGCAAGAGCGACAGCAAGTCGCACAGCAAGTCGAGCGACAAGAAGCACTCCAGCGACAAGTCGCACAAACGTTCGCGCGACGACAGCCGGGAACATGACCGTACTCCTAAGAAAGCTAAGTGAGTACTATACGATCGCAATTTGCATACTAACTTTATTGTTGTTGATCACTTCGTGTCAAATCATTCCCTATCTTCAATTTAATTCAAAATACAAAATTCATTCAATATTCGGCTTTATGGGATTTCAATAAGGTTAAAAACTGATTGAAAAATCACATGCCATTTTGTGTAACACAAAACAAAACTATGAAGTCTTAAATACTCAATCAATCAACATTACCTATATTGTATTTAATTTGTTTCAGGAAATAATGCGGCGAAGAGATTGAGTTATGATGTCGTAAGGAACAAACACGGGTTTCATTTGTCGCTCACGGCTCGTTACATTTGTTACTGTGTTCTCACACCCAATGTCCGTCTGCGCGTTGTTCAAATCAGGTCTGAATGTTTGTATGTATGTAGTTTATTTCTGATTCCAATGAAAACTGAAACTGTAATTTAAATTATACCACAAAAATAAATGTAAGGATTTATTATTTATTGATTTCATTTATTCCCAAGTCATGGACTAATCATAATCTGATCCTACTCAAATTACAATCAAAGGCAAGATGTATTAATACATCAAAATACTATTTAGTACTTTCGAGAATATTTTAGTTTGAACATAATTTTATAAGAGGTATGCACACCAGCAGTTACTTGGCTTTGTGACAAATAACACAATCTGAGGTTACGGCGTTATTACTAACTTACGTACATCTAATTGAATCACATAATTATAATGTACATTATTTACATAAGTACTACATCTACATGTAGATTATAGGGTTAGCGAGGATCACCGATCGGCAACAAACGTAGGCATCGCACCAATACAATTTTACATCAGTTCGTTACATGTAACTTATCCTGTACAAGTTGCATATAACCTCATTTTTTACATCGACATACTAGATCAGTACGACGCAACTAACAAACAAACGTGCGAATCGTACGACTCTTGCCGACTGTCTTACTGCCGCCAAAATTGACATAAATAAATTAATGACTTAATTTATAGGTAACAAATATGATATTGTAGAGCGATTTAAGTAGCGGTCGTGTTTGCACTACTATGGAGACAGGTCCGACTCCTGCGCCGCTACAACGGGCCTGCGCGGTAGTACTGATATTCTAGAGTCAGGAATCTTTACGTCTTGCACTTTAGTAGTCTCTTGCTCCTGTGTTTCACTCTTGTACCAGTTCTTCTTGTTGACTAGCATCAGCAACATCAGTGCCGGCAAATGGATTAGTGAAAACCTAAACAGTTTCCTCGAACTGTTACTATCCGATTTCTGATGAAACTGCCAAGCTGTGGACAAAGAAAAATGTAATTAGCAACATGATTCTAAATATTGTTTACATAATTAATTATTATAAAAGTGATAACGCAGTAAACTATAAACACGTGTATCTTTGTTTACACACACAATGATAATGTAAAAGATTATTGTATTCATACATCAGACTTACCTAAGTACATAAAATAAAAATTTAATGGTAACGATTCTAGGGCGAACCATGTATTGGTTACTTCGAGGTAAGATGAGGCAAGGCACGCTCCCATGATCACTCCTGTGTGTCTGAGGGCTACCCTTCTGCACAATGCTAAAAAAAAAAAAATACTTCTATAATCAAGAAACACTCAAACATTCTCGTGATGACAGTCACTTAGCTTTGATAGTACTTTATTACAATGACATAAAGTTCAAATTCGAATAACGCCTTAATTGGTTAAATATTAGTAAAATTACCAGGATCAGTGACGGCCATCATTCTGTAGCCGGCGCGTGAGTAGTCTGGCCGTAGGTTCCAGGAGAGCGCGTTGAAGTGCGGGAACTGCCAGGAGTATAGGATCACGCTGAGCACTATTGCACCAGGGTCTAACGCACCCGCGCATCCCGCCCAGCCCATTAGAGGAGGTATAGCACCAACTGAAAAATGTTGTAAAAGTTAAATATTGAGATTTGTCACCATAAGTTTACATCATGGTCGCTTGCTGTTTCAACGGCGATGCTTGGATACCCGGATCAAAGTTTTACCTTGCCCAAGAAATGCTTTCCAATGGTGAAATGTGGGTACTTATGATTTTATTGACAACATTAAACATTAGTGAATAATACAGGACTTTTTAAGCTTTGAAAAGTAAACAAAATTTTCAGTATAGAACAGTGTTTATGTGGATCCTTACCTACAGACCCGAGCCAGGTATTGTATATGGACATTCTCTTCATAGGCGTATAGACGGATGTGTATAGTACTAGGTTAGCGGCGCCTAGAGCCGCGGTGAGTGGGTTCACTCCAAAATAAAGCAGTCCCAAGCCTGTAGAGCCCGCCAGAGTCGCGAAACCTATTGCGTGGACTGGCCTGAAAGAAAATTACATTTTCATTACATAAGCAATAAGTCATTTCATAAAAAGAAAACAAAATTGAAATATTTTCTGCCAGCTAATCCTATTCCTAAGTGTAAATTAAGAACGAATGCGACGATCTATCGTTTCTTTTTTTAGTATCGCACATTAGAGAAAGGCATTTTTAAGGTCGTTTACGCATATTAAATTGGGGTAAAAATTAAATTTGATAGAATTTTGAATTACTTCGATGTTCTCGCAAACACGCGGTATGTAGTGACTTTTACAAAAAACATATACCTATGTATAAATAAAAAAAAAATATTGTAAAAAACATTTGAATTTTGTCACGTTCCAAAAAAGTGTACTAAGATAAAATTATCTGTTTTCATAATATTTAATTTGCGAGGTCAAAGGGTTACCTAACCATTTCGAATTTTGAAATAACAAATAGGATTTGTAAGATGAATAATGAAAATATTAATATTAAAAATGATAAGTAGGAAATTTTCGTTGAGATACTGTACGACTGTATGTAAGTTTCCTTATTGACCAGTAACGATTTCTTCTACCTTTAAGACTCTTTTTAATTGGAAAAAGTCACAATATTCTTATAGATAGACTGTCAATGGTTTAACGCCAAGAGCCGAACATCGAGCTCAGTGGAGTACTGTTAAGGAGGCCTATGTCCAGCAACGGACATCAAAGAACAGATGGTGATGAAACTTACTCTAGTAATCCTTTGACCAGCACTCGATTTTTAGTCCTGGACATCTGTGCGTCGAATGGTACTTCGTGGTATTGGTTGATAGAGTTGGCTGCAGCTGAGGTGAGGCCTGTTCCGATCGCGCATAACGCGAACGTCGTCAAGTCGAAGGGTGCGGGCGCGAGTGCGTACCCGGCCATTGAGGACATTACTACTAACGCTGTAAATAATTATTAATTAAAAAAAGGAAGATATTTTTTTATCGATATTTGCAAATAAGCAATTTGGTATTTGCGAGTGGTCCTTCGGCATTGGTTTAGCTTCAATTTGATCTCCGTTTTAACATTTCAATTCTTGCAATACTTACTACTTGGGTAAGTAGCCGGTACTATAATACTATTATGAGATGTGGTAGAATCAAATTAGACAGGGAGAAGCACCTTGTTGCAGGGAGAAGTCCATAAATAGCGTTTTGGGAGTTGGAATAGGTATCGAAATTCGACAAAGAAAACTAATATATTTTTATCTTCCTCTATTAATTAACCGACTTCAAAAAAGGAGGAGGTTCTCAATTCTTCTATTAAGTAAATAACTACTAGTTCGAATTGATTTATTTTTGGTATTTGTTATTTCATCTATCGAAAAAGGCTATAAAACGTTACGACCTGAAGGAGCGGAGCACTGAGTGAAACCGCGACTTAATAGCTAATGTTATCTTTATAATGAAAAGGGACTAAACATTTTCGTATTAATTCATTTTATGGATTTTCCACCCGTTTCCAGTGTTTAGAGATAATTAGGAAAACGTTTACCTATTTAAACTGTAACTTTGTACTTGTTATCTTTTAACCCAGCCTTAGTGAGGTTAAGCGTGTCTTGAAAATATGATCAATAATATTTAGGTGCACGAGAACCATGCTTAGCTTACGTATTAAATCGCCACGTGTTGTTGCTACAAAACTGTCATCTATGTTTACGAAAACTATAGAGATACTAGACGCACCGATTATCCACGATAACTGATAAGCCGCTTTAGGAATGCTTACTGTGTTAATTTTTAGATAATATTGTCAAATACTTCATAATTTCGACACCATTGTGGGACCGGGCATTAGTTATTGAAGGCGATTGGATGGTTTCGGGTATGATGCTATGAAGTAGCGAATAGAATGTCCAAGGTCTGGACTCGTTTTGTTTAGATATGCTAGGTGGGTATAGCTAGTATCGCTGTATCGATCACGTACCACACAGATATATAAATGATGTTTGAGATAATATTACTACGAGTAATTTACTTCCTACTACTATTTACGATTTTATTTAGGACCCGGGTACGTCGTAGTATTTAAACCAGACACCGAAGGATGGACTACAGCATTCGAAGATGAGTTAGATGCATTGAAGAAGTGGCGGTGTATTGAAGCCGCTTGCCAAGCGTGGGGATTACGGCAATACCCTCATATAGCTTCATATGGCAATACCCTTATATACGCGGAGTCCAACAGTGGACGTCTATCGGCTGATAATGATGAATTTCTGAATGGGAGATGAAATAGCTCTGTACTAAGTAACAGTGACCTGCCCTTGCTTCGCACGGGTGTACTTCTATGTAATTAGGGACGATATGGATTTATTATTTGAACATACATCAGCATAGATGTTGTTAATGTCTAATGGAGACATGTGGCAGTATAAATTGTTAATGTGCCAGGCTTTTGGACAAACATCGGTTGTCCACTATTTTATCTCTATTCTTCACTGCCTACCCTTGCTTTACATGGATGTCCAACTACCTTGCTATCAGTCATTTGTTTTGTTACTGATCAGATACATACGAAAGGATTGCTACGGTCTTATAATTGGTTTCGGATATTTTCAGTTCCACGATTATTAACGAAACTAGCGGTCTTTCCCAGCTTCGTAAGGATGCTAATTCTATGAATAATATCAATTAGGTACTTATTGAAGTCAATGAAAACATTTTATTATTTCAGTTTCAGCCATTTTCAAATTTGCGCACAGCAATACATTTCACGTTACAAGTTTATTAATACATATTTTTACTTACAACTTAATCGAAACTTGGAGAGCATCATACAATAATTCCCCAATTGATTCTTTCTGTCGTGTGACGGTGTTTCCTTCCACATTCTGTTGTCCTGTGGTATATTTTTGCTTTTTACCGTGGCCGTAGTTTGTGTCGTAAGTGGCAGTTTGCTGTTCCAACATTGCGTCGTCGATATCCTTGCTAGTTGCTGCAGCAGAATGCCGTTCTGAAATAAAAGATGACGTGAACACTACGTACTCTCAAATTTTACCATTATCATAATACATGATCCTGAAACAAAGGAGTTTCTAAAACATTATTAAAATTAAATGAAGGTTGTGTTTCTAAACGTTGCATTGTTCCAACTTCCAACCACTACACAGATACATGTAGGTACTGTACAAAACAACAATTAAGATATTCATTTGTTCATTAATCAGAAGTTTGAACTTGGAAATGACGGTAGTTATTATTAAACTGTACATTCTATATTTTATAGAGTATTGTCACATTGAGCATTTTGCGACATCCGCAGGATGCTGGCAGTGGTTGGATGAGAAGAGCTGAACATCGAGCTCAGTGGCGTGCAATTGGGGAGGCCTATGTCCAGCAGTGGACGACAACAGGCTGATGATGATGATGATGATGATGATGATGATGATGATGATGATGATGATGAGCATTTTGCTGTAGTTATCTGACTTTACCAGGCAGGTTTACAAAGGCGGGACGCTGCCAACACGTTTCAATAATAATTCCGCCTTCTTAAGTCTACTTAGAAAGAGTTGATTATCTTTATTTCTTTTCTTATATTTATACTTGAGTACAGCGTATGGTACAGTAGGTATACAGCTAATTAATTTTAGTGATAAAGAAACTAATATTAAAGTTAATCAGTAACGAAATTATTATTCAAAAATCACGCGAGTTTTTGATAACGAAATCCGTTTCGTGAGATTTTTTATTATTTTAACCTTTACAAGCTATCACTGATGTTATTTTTTGGTTTTTTTTTAATAGCTGATGTACCTATCTATTCTTATTACATGTTGTTAGCAGAAGGCTCTTTCAAAGAGCAGAGTGCAAGTTTAGATACATGAGACAATACATCAAAAAAATATTATGGAAGGAAATATAACTATAATTGGCAATTTAGTTTATTGGCATATCATTTAATGTATTGACATCATTTTCATTTACAGATTATTATAAAAGAATTATTAGTTATAATGTAATGTTTGGTTTTAAACTATTTTTCCATGATTTTAGATTAAAACATAAAGATCTATGTAAATAGGTATTATGTTTTAAGATTTGTACCATCATGTTTCAAGCAAAAAAAAAAAATTACACATCAATTCACATTTACATCAAAATACCAACAAAAGATTGAAAGAAATTAGTGATAACCATTTTCTTTCATTGTATAATATATCAAGTAAAGTTAATGTATTTATTAACATTTCATGTCTTTTTGTAGCTCAAGAAAATATAAAGAATAATAATAGTTTCAGTTGATATTATGTAAACTTAATAGTGTTTATATTTATTATAGTATTTATTTTAATTTTAATTATGTACAGTAAATATTTTATTTGGTTGTGGTCCAGAATGGAGCGCATTTATTAATTAGTTTGAATTCAAAAGATAAATATTAAGTTCAGAATAAATGTAGATTTGGACTTCAATGAATGGTTGAGACACCTCCTGTAGGTGATAAGGTGTTACTAAATATTGGTGGTGGATAAGATTAGATTATTTAAAATAATATTAAACTAATGTACAGTTCAATGCAAGAAATATTTATCCATAAAAATGTAATTATTTTACTATTTACTGTCAGGATTGGATATGCACACTATTCTCAATAACTATTTTAAGTTTAATTTTTCTTAAATTACATGATGTTGTTTTAAAAGAAAATTAGAATGCTTACACATATGAAAAAATGTGTCACATGGTAACATTCAGATTGTTAAATGAGTTTCATTGGATCCATATTTCATTAACTTAATAATCCATATTTTATTTATATATAATTAGATGAATTAATTAATGAACCAACACATGTAAGCGGGGTCTAATCATTTATAAATAAAAAAATATTTATAGCAAATAGCTGTGCTTTTTTTATATTCATACTGATATTTTTAAGATATTCACACTGACATCTTTCGTAAACATTTATATCACAGTTTTTTAACAGAAAATGAGACGTAATATCCTAATGATACCATCAATCAGTGTCACAGATAACAAAAACACACCATGCAGTTTTCATTCTTCTATATTAGAATAATAATCATGAAAAAACTTACTCCTGAAATGCCGACAGTGCCATGTTTCAGGCAGATCGTACAGTGCATCACTTTTCTATAAAACATCCTGTAGCCACACGCCTTAGATCAACATTCTGAAATATACACAAAAATATAAATAACAGCTAGGTATATATTGCAGCTGAAGTAGCAAATGCACGTTTTTATATAAGGTAGTGGTACTGGTACTAAACGAATTATGTCACAAGACCTCAATACTATTCTAAAATAAAAATAACATTGGAGTTGAATAACATACAGTTCCATCCAACTCTTGATATTAACTGAGTGCTATAAGTTAACCGACCGAAGTGCTTGTACTGACTGATTGAAACATTACTTACGTAAATACTATTGTAATCTAGTATTTGAAATTCTCTAAAAACCACCCTTTTTATCACCACGAAAAATAATTATCGTAAGAACGATAATATGAAAACATTTCAGAGGTTATCAAGTTAAATTCGACATATGACATAAGTGACGTAACATTGAAGTTCTGAGATCATTGCCAGTAAAAAAATTAATGAAACTTTGATTTTTATCAGCTCATTTGTTATGGACTTAAATATATTTTAGAGATATTGAAAAAACAGGACTTTTTAAGTCATATCGTTACTACGCGTCGTGATGAAGAATGGCCCTGAGCTCGTGACTAGCAAAGATAATATAGAAAAACAGACAAGAGGTTTGCAATTATTTAATTCGAACGCTTCCTTTACAATCGATCGATACACAAATTAAATTATGACGTAAATGGCAACACTTTGTTACCCATGGTATTGCTAGTTCATTTTCCCATATAATGGGGAAGTGTAGTTGCCCGAATTATCATCGATAGGATGAAATTATTCAAAATTAACGAAAGAACGGGTAAAAAACCGTGAAGAAATATTAGTTTGGTGTAATTGAAGCAATCGCTATTATTCAGATACAAGTTTGTTGCAGTGAATGTTTTTTTAAAATTGACAAAAAAAGTAAAATTGTTTTTATAGGGTAATTTCAACATTAGTGTAAAAGCACCATTTTTTTGTTTTTATTTTGATTCGATTGATATTCGAACGCGGAAGTGGTTTCGTGTATTGACGCTCGCATTGCGAAACATGTCCAATTGTTATTTTAGAAATATATAAACATGTCCAAATTATGGTGAATAACTCGTCGGCCCCGTAGTAAGAAAAGCAAACCTAAAATATGGCCTCGCGAGGAGACAAAGGGAATGGAAATGGCGAGGAGCAGATCGTTGAGGTAAATCGATGTGGCCTACATTTTTGACAGTTATATTGAGTTGAAGAGAGTTCTGAATGGGATGATGGTTGCAGACGTTGGCGGAGGTGTTCCGCTGCTTCATCTGTATGGAGAAGCTGGTGGACGCACATCTCTGCCCGCACTGCTCCAAGCTGTGTTGCTATGCCTGTGTGCGACGATGGCTGACTGAGCAGCGATCGCAGTGCCCGCACTGTCGGGCAGCCCTGCACCTACACGAGCTCGTCAATTGTCGCTGGGTGGAGGAGGTCACCCAGCAGATCGAGACCATGCAACAAAGCAACTCAGCTAGTCAGAGGGAAAGCTTCAGGGATAGGTGATTATTGCATACATTTTTGGCATACAGTCTTTTGCTTGTAAACATGAAGTGTTAAATGTAGTCTTGTGTAAGGATGTAATAAACATACCCAAAGTGCCCTGAACAGGTGTCCGACACACCAAGAGAAGCTGACGGTATATTGTTGGACATGTCGGCGCTGCATCTGCCACCAATGTGCTCTGTGGGGCGGAACTCACTCTGGACACACCTTTAAACCCTTAGAGGAAGTGTATGAGCAACATGTCACCCAAATCCGTGATGAAGTGTTCCAGCTGAGGCGTAGGCTCACGGAGTTGATTAGTCTGGGGCAAGATGTGGTATGTTTTGTTTATAATTGAATTCTTCCTTTCTCTTATGAAATATGTGATAACTTTAGTTTCATTCTTTCAACTTATAATTTTGCTGTTTGTTAAATACAGCTTTCATAAATATTTTCAACCTCTCTCTTAATGGAACTTAATGACTGGAAATGAACTTCATTTCCCTACTAGGAAAAATAATTAACCACCAAAATTCTTAATATGATTCAAGTATTGTACAATACAATATTTGCCAGGAACGTAATGTGGAATCAGTACGCGCAGCCAAAGACGAACGCGTGCGCGAGATCCGCAATGCCGTAGAGCTGATGATATCGCGCCTAGATTCTGCGCTGAAGGCCAAACTCCTCACACTAATGGGCCAGAAGAATAGCCTAACGCAGGAGACAGAACAACTGGAACATCTCCTGCAAGAGATTGAACATCAACTGCATTCAAGTACCAGGTACTTATAGTATAATATGTTATTACACACTTATTCATAAAAAAATATCTAAAGCTCCTTGACTTGTTGAATATTTATTATTTACACAACTAAGTGATAAAGGTTGCTCACACATTATTTATTTTTTCAAAATAATTTATTTATTTATGGCAGGTCAGCTAGTATATTGGCTATTCCTGTGGTTGTTTGTTATTAATGTGTTTTCTTAAATCTATTTGGCCATTATAAACTAGCAGAAAATTACAAAGACTAAAGATTCTACTATCAATATTGGCTTTTAGTATGTTTTTTATAAAATAACATTGTTATAGACAATATCTTATTTAATTATTGATGGTAAGAGAAATAAGCTGGGTATCTGACCTTCATTAAGCAATATAATTGTTAAATTCCTATTTCATCTTAAAACCATTGCTAAAGAACCATGTCAAATCAATTGCATATTTCAAAACGAGTCAGAATTTAAAGATATTATATTAACACTATTTATATCTTCTATCTTCATGCTATAATCTGTTTTGGGGTGACCAGAAAGCGTACAACATCAGTTATGTTAGTATTGCATGTTAAAATTAATATATTTGTGCATGTTTGTCTGTTATTCAGTGTTATTAGTTACGATATTCTTTATGGGCTGCGTTACGAGGTCTCGTAGATTCTTGACTGCTTATTGTTGGGGACTTATTTGGGACTTGATATCGACAATTCAAAACGTTCCTTATGAGCCTAAAAATAAGCGTTATAATTGAATGATAAGACAAATAGAGAAAATCGTAACATTTTTTATTTGTGTCGCACATTTTTTTCAGATTACTTTATTGAACAGCGTGTCTCAAGCTACTGAAATGTTCGCAGGTCGGAATTAATTGCGAAGAGTGGTGAACTGTCAAAGATGATTCACCAGGTTCGCAAGAAGCCGATGGCAAGTTTCGTGACTGCGCCGGTACCGGCCGATTTCCATAGGCAAGTCAAATCTATACTAATACTATAAAGCTGAAGAGTTTGTTTATTTGTAACCGGTTCGAATTGAAAAAGTATTTTTTTGCTGAATAGATTATTTATCGAGGAAGGCTTTAGGCTATAACATCACGCTTTGATCTGTAGGAGCCGTGCAGCGGGTGAAACCGTGCGAGAGTAGCTAGTATTTAAATTCCTGACAGATATTTAAAGGTAGACATTATGACAAAACCTAAAGTTCTGTCTACCTGTTGAGCAAACGGCGATTAATTTTTACTCCATGCTGCCGTGCAACGTGTCCCGCACGGATCAACTCTTTGTGCCCAGAAATTGTTGTTTCGGGGTTTACGTGTCACGTGTATGTAAACTTACGAGAATATTTTTTTCATAACGAAACGTTTGAAAAATACTTCTTTCTTTGTGTGGGAAGACCCCTTTTTTCAGAAGTGGAATACGTTTCGACTAAGCTTATGACGATGATGGTGATGAAAATCAGTGGCAGTGCAAATATTACATATTGTTGCCTTATTATAAATTAAAAAGGCGTGGCGTGTTTATGTCCGAATCGATTTACGTAGCCGGGCGGGCAGCCGGGTGACCGGGTGGCCGGGTGGAAGTAGGGAGTGGGGTGATACTCCCTACGCGTACTTGTTGTGTTTATTGCGATAACGATATCCTTTGTGATTCCTTTGATCCGAAACAAAAACAGCAAATGAACCAAATAATACTACGATTTCCCTCACATCACAGTTAGCACTGATGTTCTCGATCCTAGAACTGATTCACGCAGACCTATATTGAAAAATGGAGACTTACATTAGAATGAGCCAAATGTGACCTGATGTACAATATATGCGCCTGGAAGTTGGGTCTATCTGTATACTACGTAATTAGAACTTATATTTAGGTAATTTAAAATAACAATAAAGCTGCATGGACCTGAGAATCAAGAACAGAGATTGAATGACACAAAATATTAAAGAAACCAATAATTGCTCCGTCACGCAGTGAAATTGTCCCGAGCTACGATAGCAGCACGTTTCCGCTGAGCAACTTTACCCAGCTGCAGCACGCGGCGGCGCCCGTGTACTCCGCCCCGCTGCACGTCAACGGGCTCTGCTGGCGCCTCAAGGTGTACCCCGACGGGAACGGGGTCGTGCGAGGCAACTATCTCTCCGTCTTCCTCGAACTCAGTGCTGGACTACCCGAGACGTCCAAGTAAGTATCCCAAACTACCTCTTTACTTATTGGGTTGCAAGTCCTAATTCCAAAAGTTCTCTTTGCATTACTCTCAGTCTGTTTCACCACAAATATTAAATGTCTTCAAAAGTTTTATAACAACTTTTATTAGCATTTTTCATTAAATATTTTTAATATGTCAGCACAAGATAAAGTTGGTTACGGTAATGTCACGAAATTAAGTTTTTGCTTTATCGATAAAATTGTGTAGAGTACAGAATTGGCACTTAGATCACGATAGTGGTGGAACAGCAACGTAAACACTTGATTTGTTGCACAACCCGATCCTAATGATTCGTTTTGTACCCTGTAAGTGATAGCAAAATAACTTAGTATTTCGTTATTGCAAGCACTGCTAAGTTAAGAGTAGGCAAGAGGTAAGTGCGGGCTGTGGAGGCCGACGCTCAGTAGCCATTAGTAGCTCCGTGTGCTAGCATGCTGTTGGTATTTAAGGCACCTTTTATACTCAACAAGATAATTAGATCGCGAAAGTATCTTCCTTAGCTAAATAGTTGAATGTTAGTTCCATGCCACATACGATTTGGTAATACTAAATATTTTTAATTTTACTGTACATGAGGACATTGTCCTCATACAAATAAGAGCGACTGTATCGTGTTCAAATGCGATATTTTGATCCTTATCTGCAGTTTAACTTCAAGATTGTAAAATTGACTGATTAAGATTGTATTCTTAATAATTGCTACCATAAAGACAATTTACTTCGTCGTCATCAATCGTTGTATAAGTTGTGCCTTACATCTCTTCTGTGTGCTCACTTCAAATGCTCCTTTCCTGTTTACAGTAAGAGATTATTTCACATTGTTATTTTTAATTCATATATAACTTTAATACCGAATTTAAAAGTACTTTGTAAAAATACAAAATAATTATTCTTTTCTCTCTTATTATTTACTCTTCTGTGACTATATGTTCAATGAAAACACAAAATGATGTTAAATAATCACTTGCTAATTAAACCAAACTAAGTTATTGACATTTTCTGAAAAGCTAGCTTTATCATTGTTCTATATCCATTATAACTTTGTTCACGAAATCTTTTACATAAAATATAAATCGTCTTGTAAATAAGCTGTGTAGAAGGCGTGTTTTAGGTTTTTGCCAAAAAAAAAAATAGAATGTTTTCCAGGTTCCTACAATATTATACGAACTCAAAAAATTTGGTGTAGCCAATTTTCAAAAAATTTAATAGATAACAGAAAGCAGACTAGGAATTATAAGTTTCCGTCTATGAAAGTGGCGGTCTGTCTAACAATAGTTTCATTATTCTTGTCTCTGGCAGCGGCTTCGCCTGCTATTTGTCATTCTAGACTAAAATCTATCTCTGAAACAAATTTCATTAATGCCAACACGTTCGTATCCAGAAACTTTCGCGTTTATAATGTCAGTAAGACTACTCCAGTAACGAAACAACTGAAAAAAATTAAAGATAACAAGAAGTGTAATTGCTGTTGTGTGTCTCTGATAATTTCTTATTTCTATCTCAACGCCTACTACACACGCGTACATTATATTAAAACATGTATTGTAAATATCATTGTCGAACTTCATCACTGTAAACAAACTATGTAGAGTATAAAACATTACAATACGGTAGTTTCCGACTAGTCAAATTCGATACTTTTATCAGAAACGATACTTTTATATGAAATTTGTATGAAACTCTAAATTATGACGTCATTAACGCGTCTAATAGCTTACTTATTTTTTTTAAATTATTGACTGACCGATGAATAAAACTAATAAAATTATAGTTATTTTTCAATATTTTATTGTATTGAATTAATTCATTTTTGACCTAGGAAACTACCCAATTAGGATTATAATTCGTTACATTAGGTAAATTACTTTCTTGTCGCCTTAATTGTTCGTAAATCTGTCATATCTGTTGCTATCTTTGCTTGCAACCTTTTAGTTTATATATCTACTGTTTAGAAGACGAAGCAATGATGTAAGTAAAAACAATAATTCATCGATGCTACAAGGCATATCTACTCATTATAAGTTTGTCGTGTTTGTAAATATTTAGATGCAATTATTGATTCTATACTCGATGGAGTATTTCAGTTTTTTTTAGTCTGATCTTTATTATATTAACACCACATTGTTTTTGTTATTACGTGATTTTAAAAGAACAATGTACAATTACTGCTACAATAATTCGTAAAATGAAAAATAAAAACAAATTGTAATATAAAGTTTTTATCACCATCACGTTTAAAAATTTTATTTTCCTATCATGGTAGGACATGAAAGCAAACAAAGCTCTCCTCATTTATTTTAATATTATGTATAATGGCTTTCGCCGTATAATATCGAGCAGATCCTGTACGCAATGTATGTCCCAGATACGAGTATCGAGTGGAGATGTTGCATCAAGTGTCCCGCGACCCCTCAAAGAACATAGTCCGGGAGTTCGCTTCAGACTTCGAAGTCGGCGAGTGCTGGGGCTACAACCGCTTCTTCAGGCTGGACCTGCTCGCCAGTGAGGGGTATCTGGACCCTGAGACTGATACCCTTATACTCAGGTAAGGATGGTAAAATATGGATAAAGTTAACCGACTGCCTGGCTAGAGCAGTAACTGGACAACTGGCTGCCGCACGATGTGCCGCGGAATCGATATCCGCACAACAATTCTTAAACCGTTGCGACTCCTTTAAACCAGGTTCCAAGCGAGGGTTGTTATGAAAGAAAAAGCTGATTGTGATATGATAGGCGAGAGTGAAAAAGAGTTGCATAATGCACCTACGCCAAGTCTCTTGGGAAAAGGGCAGGAAAATAATACTGTACATTTTCATGTTATCCTAATGTGATTTTATTTGTAAAAGATTCCAAGTGCGTCCGCCAACGTTCTACCAGCGATGTCGCGACCAGCAGTGGTACATCAACCAGTTGATCACCATGCAAAACCAACACATCCTGCAGATAAATGATCTCAAAGAGGTATGATACCAAATGTTTATTGTCAATCGATGCAAAGGAATAGCACCCTTATTTAAAGTGGTATACGAATCAAAATTATGATCTCAAATTTCCACAGCGTCTCTCATTGGAGATGTCTCGCAACTCTATCGCGGCGACCCGCGCACAGACCGGCTCAAATACTTCGCAGTCCAACGCTGGCAGCAATGACACGGACAACCCCTCGCAGAATAATCCCGTCGATGGAAACAGTCTCAGCGATTCTATCGTGTTCGGAAACCAGTGGAAGTTTAGCGCGCCACATAGCATCATGAGCGGACAACGACTCGCTAGTCCTGGTAATGCCTTATATAAATTTAGTTTTATGGACTATGTAAGGCCCATTATAAATTTTTAAAATTAGTTTTTATAGCCAGCCAGCTGCACATACCCACTGTTCGTTTAGTAAAGTTTGGTAGTTTTTTTATATGTTATAGGCTAACGAGCATACGGATTGCCCGATAGTAAGCAATCAGCGCCACTCATGAACAATCGCAGTACCATAGCAACTAAAGGTGTGTTGCCGGCCTCTTGTAGGTTATTAGGTTTCTTTAAATATAAAGAAAAGAGATTTGAGGATTGAAGGATGGCGCGGGGGAAGTATTGGGCCTCCGGCAACATCACTCACCATTCACACGGCGAAACACAACGTTAGTGAAGCTTCACGCCGGTTTTCTCTGAGGTCATAGTACCATTCCGGTCGAGCCGGCCCATTCGTGCCGAAGTATGGCTCTCTCACACCTAGGAGACAGAAGAAGCGTTGCGTTAAAGAGGATTATTGTATAATAGGTAAATGTATGTGTGCAGGCGTGGGCGTGGTGTCGTGCGGGGAGTGCGCGGGTGCGCGGTGCCCGGCGGAGGAGTCGCGCAACAACGACGTGGCGGCGGGCGCGGCGTACGGCGACTACCGCCACGCCGCGCACGCCACACACGCGCTCGACGCGGGGTACAACCTGCCCTCCACCTCCAGGTCACTATCTAATATAACCATACTAAATTACACCTCAATCGTTCAAAGAAATCTGCTCCAAAATCAAGTTGCAAGATTCCATTTCTTAGATAAACATCACATTACAATTTTTGAATAGTAACCAGCGTGAGACTTAATTTATTGAAAACTAGCTACTCTCTCGCGGTTTCACCCTTTGCAAGTCTCCATTTAATCGTAGCGTGATGTTATATAGCCTATACCACTCAGGAACATGGTAGCTATGTATCAGTGAAAGAATTTTGGCAATCCGATCAGCGGTTTCCAAGATTACCCCCTACATACAAACCTCTTTATAATATTAGTATAGATAAAGACACAAGATGTAATTAAGATAGACTACTAGTTTCAAGTCACAATGGGACTGTTATTAAACTAGTAAAGCTTTTTTATTTCATACTAGCAGACCGCCCGACAGTCATTTGTTTTCACCGGAAGTGTTGTTAGTTCCCGCTATTCCCCTTTACTTTTCTAAAGTTTACTTTCGTAAGAACCTTCTCGTTACAATAACGAACAAAACAATAAAAGAATTGGCAAAATTGGTCCAGGCGTTATTGAGTTATGCGCTTACTAACACTTTTGGCGATTCATTTTTATATTATAAAGATTGCATAGATTATATTATGCAAAAGTATTAGATATGCTTAATTATACATTATCTACATTTAAAATTGACAAGTCTTTCTCGTGGTTATAACTGTTCACATTTTACTCTTACAACCATAACAATTGATCCTAGGTTTCTCCCTGTGAACAATACAATTAATACAATGATCTTCTAACCATATGTAAATAATACGTGTAGATATGTAGGATTTTAGTACATTTCTACATATTTTCTAACCATTATATTCCTATGATCTAATAAAGTTCCATTACTCTTTTGTTTAATCAATACTTATAATCTAATATTTATTCATTGAAGTTAATACTCGTATATACAAGACATTACTAATAAACAATGGGAACATGTCGAGTAATTATATTATTCTTATTCTACTGGTTACTTGCAACATTGAAAGAAACTTTTCTAAATTAAACAGTACACACACACTACAATATTAGTAAACAGAACTAAGCCATTAAAAGGGAATTTCAAAATTGAATCTTATTTTTGACGCATTTTTTTGAGTTAGACTTCTTTTCTTATAAAGATACGATAAAAAAAAACAACCACTTTTCGTTGCAATGTTATAACTCAACTAAGTCTTTACCGATTTGGTCTTGAATTATTCGTGGAAGTCCAGAAAAGGTTTGTACGTAGAGAAAATTGAAAAAATTAAAAAACTTGAAAAAGTGTAAAATCGACATCAACGTAGGCGGAGCCGCGGGTTCCCGCTAGTTTAGATTTTTTTTAGCATACTTAGGTTCAAAACTGAAAAAAATAGTACTGCGCTGGTGGAACAATGAGGTATGTTTATATTAATATATTGGGGTGTGGTCAGGTCTGCGAACTCCCTGCACGTGTCGGGCACGGACAACATGGCGCTGGTGTCGCTGCACACGCTGCTGAGCGCTGCGCAGGCGCCGGCGCGCGTCCCCACCAAGCTGCCCGGCAAGCGCCAGCCCGACCCGCGCACAGACAAACATCACGTGCCCAGCAAGGACTCGCACCTCACTGGTGGGTACATTGCTCTACATTGCATACTTGCCTTGTTATTGTTCCTCACTCAAAAATAAATTATTCAAATGTATAAAACTATAAAAATACTGGAAAACAATCATACCTAATACCAATGATATTATATTAACACAGATATGTTATACGCTCACAAAACGCACGAAAAATGTGTTCCGCGCCAAGCGTCATCACACTCACATACCTGTTTTATTGTACATACTACTACAAGTTAAAATTATAGAAAAAGGATAATATGATAAATTCAACAAGAAAAGACTAAATAGCTATTGTTATCAATTACGTACTCAACGTAAACAAATATTATTCTAAGAGAGACTAATTGCACTTGCATACAATTGTATCCTTTTCGAATCTTCACTTTTGCGCGCTTATAACATATCTGTTAATATACAATATCATTGCCGAATACATATTCATTATTTTACGATATACTTGATGTTGGTTTTCAAGAGAAATAAGTATTCTATTTGACGTTACGTGCTTTTTCATATGAGATTCAGAGGAAATTATAGTTTTTGACATTTCTATTAAAGTATTGAATTCGACTCGTTACGGAAAATACCGCATTGATACATAGCTTTAGGTGACCAATCATTCAATGAACTACATTAGTCATTATAAAATAAGAATAGAACAGCTAAATGAATGAATGAATGATTTGTACGATTAAATAAAATTTTGATATTTATTTATATTCCCATTCAACATTATCTCAACTTTCGTGGTTCATTTTAAACGATTAGTTATATGTACGATCGTAATTTCATTTCAAATATTAGCCATTATTTTAAACCATTGCATAATTTATTTTTGACAGCTATAACTTATAAACGTTTTACTTTAGTGACTTAAAATACTAGTCCTCGTTTTAAAGTATCTCGAGGTCTATGTGAGAAGAGGTTGGTTAGTAAAAGTAGAATTGTACGCAGCAGTAGCGAGCAGCCCTGCGACGGAGCCAGGCGGCGCGGCGGGGGCGGCGGGGGCGGCGGGCGCGGCGGGCGGCGCGGCGCTGTGCGCGTCCGTGTCGTCCCCCGAGCTCAACGCGGCCGCCAAGCTGGACCCCGACCCCGCCCAGCATCCCATGCACGCCGTCTCCGAGACCAGCAGCGACACCGGCGTCAGTACCACTACACTAATATATACTAGCCTTCCTTGCTAAACTGATTTCGGCTAAGGATTAACAAACTTTTCAATTATCCACTTCATTTCTCATCTATCACAGTTTACCTAATCACAACAAACAATTTACGTTCTTGAGTTAGTTAATTATTTTATAATATATTTTATGCGCGTGTTTTTCTAGCAACTTCAAGAAATAAGTTTATTGTTTGACATAAATACATGATACACAATGCCAAACAAAATTAGTAGAATGCTTTCGCTATTTATTATACGAAAATATAATGTTTTTGCTAGTTTTAAAGTATCCAATTCAAGATTGCAATTACTTCTAACTATATTAAGGCAAGCTTATTAAGCTGTGGATAAAAGTCTACAAACTTACATTTCTGCATTATTTGATCCTCTCTCAAATGTATCATATACATTTCTCTTTCAATTTCCAGGATTTGATGTTCAGCGAATTGGAAGTATTTGCTGATGAAAATACTCCAAGTCACGTGGACGAGAACTCCAATGAAGAAAACGATGTCGACGATGAAACTATGTCAGGTATGGTCCAACACACTGTTAGTTTAATTGCCCATTTTGTTTGCATTCAATGATATAATTGCCTTGAAATAATTGGTAGATAGCGATTTATCGAGCTAACGATGACTAACGTAGTTGTAAGGGTATCAGTGCGTAGGGTGTATCGGTGAGTGCGTGGTAGAGCTTGTGTACGGTAGGTCCCGCCCCGTCCCGCTTCCTAACCGTGGTCCTGGGCCAGAGGGCACGTCGGGCTCGTCGGGCTGCGAGTGGTGCGGGCTGGGCGCGCTGCCGCGCCCCCGCGCGCCGCCGCGCCCCCGCGCGCGCCCCCCGCGCCCCGCGCGCCCCGCGCCCTACCGCCGCCCGCAGCATTGAGCGCGGCCCCGCCCGCTCCCCGCCACCCCTCTCCTCTCCCGACACTTCCTCGAGTACATCGCTCTCAAGACGTCGCTAGCTATCCTCGTTGCGAACGAGAACGACGAGTTGACGTCGAGTGTACTGCCGCGGCGGACTTATAATTTAAATAAATGATGATAAAGATAACCCGCCGTCGAGCTTTTGATTTAACCGCCTAGAACCCGCACCGCGGCTGCAGTAAGTAGCGTCAGTTTTAGGGTTGAACTCCACTTGATCACACCGACCCCGCCGCGCCCCACCAACATGTGGCCAGCGCGAGACTGTTCTTTCATTTCTATTCAAAATTCAACTTTACTCTCATTACAGAACAGTCTTGTTTAATAAGTTATAATTAAGTTAGTCTCATTACAGAACAGTCTTGTTTAATAAGTTATTATTAGTTAAGTCAAATACCAATTGTGTGTACATGTGACGATACCGGCGTTAACCAATTTGGTTTTGCTCATACAATATGTATGATGTTTTTTATTTGCTTCTCATCTTTCTCTTTTGCTAGATAAGCTTGAACCGCACTAGATTTATATCAGCTTTGAGCAAGCTTGCATGTTAATTCAAGCCTGCTCAAGGCGTATAATATATAACAAAAATTTGTCCAGTAAGTTCTTGTAGGGTGACGAAGGTTTGTATGATTATTATTTTATTAAATATTAGTAGTTATGTATGCGCGAAAAATTGTCCTTGTCCTTTTTTGTTTTTATTTTTATTGTCCTTTATATGACGCAACTTGCTGTGCATAACAGAACGAATGCGTGCTAATTAGCAGCTTGCGGGTGCGGTGCGGTGTGATCAAGTGGAGTTTGGCCAACGTGGCATGTTGGGCTTACTGGGCGCGTAGTGACTGTAACGTTATGTGGCAGGCGAGAACGACATCGAGGCGGCGCACCTCGCCGGGGGCTCCAGTGGGTCGGGGGCCGACATACTGCGGCGTCTCGTCTGTGCCGTGGCGTCCCGCGGGGTCACCCCGGCGGGGACGGACGGCTCCGGCCCCCCCGCCGCGCCCAGGCACGACCCCGACCCGCAGCTGTCCACCGCCGCGCATACTGACATGCTACTGCTCAATCTTATGCGTATCAACGGACTCACGCCGAAGCACTCGCGACATGGTCAGTATCATTTTTTAACTGCTGCAGTGAACTATACGAAATAGCGATAAAAAGATTTAAGAGACATTTACAATCCGTATTCTAATGGAGCCATCTTTTTACAAACCTTGTTGATTATTAGGGCTGCTTTTAGAAACAAGTAATAAAAAGTAAAACTGCAGTGGATGGGTTAAGGAGTATAACAGTAACTGTGAGTGTGAGGTTGTATGCGCAGGCGGCAGCAAGCGGCAGTGGAGCAGTAGTGCGGCCGGCACCGACTGCGGCGGGGGCGCCACGCGCCGTGGCCCCGCGCCCAGCGGGGGGGCGCGCCCCCGCACGCGGCCCGCCACCTCGCCCGCCGCGCCCCGCCAGCGCCGCGCGCCCCCGCTGTCGCCCGGACAGCTGCGACATCGGGACACTAGGCACCCAGCCACGTGTATGTATTACATGACATGATTCTCATATCAATCGATTAATTACCCTGTTTTACCAAAGGCGAGGTTTACTTTTTTATTACCTTGTGGTACCATCCGTATATTGTCGTTAACATTGATACGGAGCTATATCGTACGATATTCGCCCTATAACTATGCTGAATAAAACATGGAAGTATAACATACGTAACCGTGGTGACAGCGTGCCTGGGCCTAAGCTTCACGTCGACCCCGCCGGGCACGCCGGAGCGGTCGGCGCTGTCGCCAGTATCGTCGCTGGCGCTGCACGACTACTGGCCCTCGGTCTCGTCCGTCAGCGACGCGGACGACGTGGAGGCCGTCCTCGATTACAACGTAAATAACGATGTTCAGCTTAATGTAATGTATTTTTCAGCTTTTTATTTTTTTTATTCATTCCTGTTCCAGTACGTTTCAAATAATATTAGCAGTGTAGAAGTTGTTTGACTTTTGTCATTGATTTTAAATTTTAAAGTGTTGTTTGAGGCGTACTAAACAAATTTCACTACAAATCTCAAGGGCTCAGAGGTCGACCTCAGAGTCCTTGAGCTGCATTTTTTTGTAGTTAAACTCTTTAATTTTGTACTTGCATTTGGTTTTTTTAATAATTCATTTTGTTAGTAAGTTTTGGATTGAGCAATCCTGAGTCATCCATTATACACGTGTGATGTTTTATTTGTATTTAAAGTTTGATTTATTTTGCATTTTGTTTTGCAAGTAGTTAGCGAGTACTTCATCGAGGCACTCATATTATAAATCAATGTTTAATAATATGGTTGATGTGGTGTGTAAATATTCCAGGATACGTTGTTCGACATGCTGCTGAACAGCCTGGCTATAGACGGCGGCGCGGGCGAGGCGCTGGGGGCGGAGGCCCGGCCTGCCACGCCGCCGGTGCAGCCGTGGAGCCCGGCGCAGCCCCCGGACCGCGCGGATTGACCGCAGCGCCGCGCCCACGGCCGCCGCCGCTACCGCCGCGAGTACCACCACTGAGCTCCCCCCCCTCCCCCCTCGCTCGCCGTCGAAGTCGCGGCTGACGTCTCGGACGTAGTGGGCCGGCGCCGAAAGTATCGACAGGCAGGCCGCCTCCCCCGGTCGCTCCCCGTAGCTCTGCGTCGCTCCCCGCGCTCTATCTTGTGTTCCTCCGAGTGGCCGATCTAAGCTCGCCTCTCAGTCGTAGGAACGTTTTGTTAGATTTAATTTGGCACGAATATACTCTTTATGATATTTGAGTGTGCCACCTCTTAAGTTTTTTGAGGGATTCGTGTCTCCTCGTCACCTAGGTAGTTAGATAACCACGTATAAAAAGTACGGGCATTAGGTAAAAGACTCAAAATTGAAACGATCTCTTTATATTTATTTTTTTAGTAATTATTAATGTTTATCAGTACAATTAATTACTAGGGTGAAACGAGTCTGATTCGCCTGCTAAAATGTTATATTAAAGTGCTATTTTTTTCTATGATATGAAATATTTTTGTAAATTCCCAGCCTCGTCATTGTCCTAAACGCTTACTAGAATTTGCATTTACTTTAAAAGTCTGTTTCCTAAGAACTATATCCCAATTTCAGCTCATTAACGCTTGCCATCATGCCGGGAGTAATATAAGTATTCCATTTGTATTTGTAGAGCTTGTTAGACAGTTTGACTCAATGTAGGAAACTTATTGATGTTCGTTTTACTAAAAATACATATATACTCAATAGCTGTTTTTGAAACTATAGTAATGCTAAGCTATCGTGTCCCCGTCGAGAGGTACAACATGAAGTACAGGCTCCTTCAAATATGATTACATGAGCGCAATGTACTGGAAGCAAGTGCGCTCTCGATGCGTGACACGATATTTTCTCTTCAATTAAGTTACGAGTGTCATTTGGTGTCGATAGTTCAAATAATATTGATGTTTGTTGTGATTGTATCGATCTCCGGTCGCACCGGGCGTAGTTGTCAATGTTAAGTATTTAATCTGTTATATTAGTTAGGGAAGACATGACTGAAAAGTTCAAAGTGTGTGATTCAGTAAGGTTACGATGAGGGTCGAGATATGGAGTAGAGTTAAGCACGTTTTATGTATTAGTTGCTGTGTTGACAAAATTATCATATTAATATATTGGATTGCATTATCGAATTAACAATACATAGGAATTTTAGCCAAATAAATATAAAATTGAAAAAAAAAAAGGAATTTTATTGGTACAATGTAACTTTCTAATTTTCCGAGATGTAATATTTTAATTATTTATTATATTTTTATTCCATAATAGTAACAAAAAGTTATGTATTGATGTTATGATTAAATGAATGTAATACATATTAATAAAACGTCACAAATGTGTTGTTATTATAAATCCCAATTAGTATTTAAACTTCTATGAAATAAACATTGACTGCACGGTTGGTGCGGTGGCTGGGTAACTGGCTGCCGTGCAACGTGTCGCGGGTTCGATTCCCGCACGGAACAACACTTTGTGTGATCCACAAATTGTTGTTTTGGGTCTGGGTCTCATGTGTATGTGAAATTGAATGTTTGTAAACGCACCCACGACACAGGAGAAAATCCTAGTGTGGGGCATCGTTTTTCTTTAAAAAATAAAAATACACTTGCGTAAGGATGAAAGGACGTGACAGCCAAAAGTGAAAACTAATCTACAAATACCACATTAATGAACAAAAATTAAATTGGACATCAGGCATATGCTACTCGCGCATTGAAAGTTCAGGACCATTATTCACCTATAAGAAATGCTTTTTTTTATTAGCCTTTGGTTCAGGATAGATAGCTTTTTGCAAGGTAACAAAACATTCCAAATTTAACCTTCCTAGACCCAGGAGGCAAACGACAAACAGGATTATCTTATGATAAGCGATCACAGTCACTTGCTACCCGTGGACACCACAGAGTACATTTTATATAACTGGTGGACACCCGCAACTCCAGAGGAGTCACAGGCTCGTTGCCCGTCGTACCATAATTACGCGCGTTTCTTAAAGGTTTGTAGGTCGTATCGGTTCGGAAATACCACCGGCAAAAGATAATTTCAAAGTGAAAAAGAAAGTAAAGGCAGAAAGTTCCACAAAAATCGCAGTTTTTAACTGCCCACTGCGCGTCTGACATACCATGTCCAGCGATGTTTTCCACTCGAGGCTTGCGGCTTTCTGACCAACGTCAGCGATTTGAGTTTTGGAGCGCAGCAAGGTATTCCTTATTTTGCCCGATAATCAAACTCCTAGGATACTGCGCTCAATGTCTCGCTGACACATCTTGAGTGTGGACTTCTGATGTTTTGTCCAAGACCAGGTCTGAGCGCCGTAGGTAAGGATGGGCAAAATGCATCGTTCATGAACTTCCTTTTAAGCAACAAGGGAAGATTACCTTTCATTAGGTATCCTATGGACCAATAGCCCTTCCGAGCGTGTCGTCGAGTAATTTCTGTTTGGAGAAGGAACGGGGTATTTTTAATCGGTAAGAGTTTGTCACTCCCTCTCGACACACCCTGGGCGATAGAAGTCATTTGATGATTTTCCCCTCACAAAAGTAGGTATGTAAGAAGTGGAGAAGAAATAAAGGTGTTTTTTTCTATTATAGATTATACTTACACATGTTTATTACCACGACCAGAATGCTGATCTCCTTATCAAACTTGACCGACTTCTTAATAACTACCTACATTCAAATAGTTTTTAACATGCATTAATATGATCATGTTTCTGCACATCGGTTACAATTGAAATCGTTGCCCATATGCCAGCGCAAAGGGCGCTAACTACTCTGTTGTCTTTCCTTAACTCGCCCTTTTTGCCTAGCTATCTATCCTCTTACTTTTAATATATGTGCGCAAACCACAGCAAAAATATTCGTTCTTCCCATAACCGTCTTCTCCAATGTCTCACTCAACGCACTCATTTTCCTTCACTCCTCATTTTTTATCCAGTCTATCTTGTTATGGAACGCTTTCCTCCGGATGACAGGATGGTATCTAGTCTGACTTTTAAGCAAAGTGTCGTGAGCTTTTGCTGAAAGGTTTGGCGGAATCAGTACTATGTTGACTATACAGGGTGACAAGTACCTACCGTACCGTGCCGTAAATAGCACGGAACATATATACCTAATCTAGGGAGATTGCTATAGACGACAAGCTGCAATGGGTGTTCGATACTCATCGAATACACATCATCATCAGCAGTATGTCAGCAGTTTGACTCAAGTAGATCGCGCGGCCGCACCCGCGAAAAGTGCGAGCTACGTGAGTCAGTGCGTGATTGATCGGCATGCATTACTAGTTGCACTCAGTATCATCTTTAGCATTAATTAGCGTAACGTGTCGGAATCAATATTCTCTGAATCTTAGGTCCGACTTATCATTTAGCACCCGAAATATCTAGCAGCATGAACTTGATCGTTCATATTGGTCGATCGAGCCGGATCGTTCAATGGGGGCTGACAGACTTGGGGCCCAGATCTCTAGCAGGACGATTGAGTTCTACAGCTTATGCTATCTGGAAGATTCTACAGCTAACTGACGTAGGCACGGCAAGACTAGTGTACTTAAGCTACTTTCACAGCATCATGACGTATGGAATTCTGTTGAGGGGACAGGCATTCGACGTTGATGTTTATCTTGCAAAAGCGTGCCGTCAGAGCTATCTATAACTTAGGTCGTCGCGAATCTTTCAGAGAAAAGTTTAGGGTGATCAACATTATGACCGTAACAAGATATTTTTTTTATGAAAACATTACGTATGTTAGGAAACACCTACAGTTATTTGTAAAATATCTGACAAAAATTATTATCATACTAGACATAGAAATAGATTATGTCAGCCTTTATTCAGATTGGCAAAAGTGCATAAGTAATTCTTGGGATACCTACTGTGTTAAATGCACACACACAAAATCCCAGTTGAAATACAAAATCTAAATGAAAGAAATTTAAATGATGTATCTATTAAGAAAACTTTATCTCATCTAGCGTTCATCAATCAATCTAGTTTTCTAGTAACTTCAAAGTTTTTGTAAATGGTAGTACCCTGTAACCTATTATAATTACCTACCTAAGTTAGACTTGTAGAATATAGGTACTTGTGTAAGCTGGGAGTTGTCATGCTCACTCAGAGGTCTCATTAGCGGTGGCACGGTGGATCTCTGGATTCCCTATAATATGGTAGAGTTGGGCGGTGCTGGTGTAGATACGTGTAATGAAATGTAAACAATTAATATAGGTATTGTGGCATTTTACAATATTTTATCAGTGTAGTTTTGAATAATCCGAAAAAGAAACATACTTACAGTTTAATTTTGTATATTTATAATATCTTTTTCTTGACGACTATAGGCAAACGTCGTCTGTGGCGTGTTTGGCACGATTTTGTCCAAATCGTTCATTCTTAATAATTATATTATCTAAACTAGTGTTTCGGTACGGCAAAGTTGCAGTGCAGTGGCGTGGATGGGTTTGTTGTGAATTTTTTCAACAGTTCAGCAATGGTTTTCCTCACTATCCAGCCAAGTCAAGCTGCCTACCTTAATACGTTGATTGTGCTTAGGTCACGTAGGTGTAGGTACTTAGGATAGAGTAAAACAAAAACAGTAAAATTGATTCAATATTTTATTTTCATTGCTCCAAAATATACACAATGACAAATATTGAAAATGTGGATTCATCCATATTTGCAAATGTCTTTAAAGGTGTTTATTTGAATTCCATAGCTGATTACACGAAGAACATGAATAGATTATTTGAATACAAATCTTTTGCAAGCAGACACTGGCGAGCCGGCCCGGCTGAAACATGTCTTTTATCGTGAAACGAGCGGCTCACTACTGCCACCTACCGTCTACATACAATATGATCCAGTAAAATTAGTAAATTCACTGTTCCTACATTAAATGATATATTTACAAATAAAACTTTAAAAGGAACGCTTTGCAAACATTCAACAAACTTGAGATCGTCTTAACGTAAAAGATGGTATAAAATTTTAAAAGTTAAAGAACGAAAGTCTAAAACATTATTTTGCCGACGAAAATATTTACAAGATTTTTTATTCCAAAATGAAATTGTGCCGAATCACGTTTTACATCTCTCACAAATAAATAACAATTGAATTTAGCCTAAAATACTTCTTTGATAAACAAAACAATAAAAAATAATTGCATTCAACAAAGCTACGATAACAAATTTAATATAAATTAATGATAAAAGAAATGTACAATTTTTACAAAGCTAAGAGGGATCACTTTTATTATTATCACTGTAATGTAGTGTTTACGTCTGTTAGTCGCGCAGTTACTCGGCCGATGTGGCACACACGTACATAATGTCACTATTGTTACCGTTATAATGAATATCTTTAACATTATACATAATTAGGTATTGCATTCATTATTTACAATTTAAACACCTCGATCATATTTTGTAATTGAAATAAAAGCGTTTACAATCTACAAAATTCTGACAATATAATCTAATTAATCATCTTCGTACTCACACATTTTGTTGTCAAAAGGTGACACAAGGTAACTTTAATTCATAGAAGAGTTATCTATAACATTACAATTGTGAATTGTGCATAAAATTCGAATCAGCTAAAACTATTGCAAAGGCAAGTAGGTGATGTATGCTTCTTTTAATAATTCATTCAATAAACACTATTACGAAAGTCCAGAACCTACGATATATCCTTATGTATACGCCTTACATCTAAGTGGTGTTGTAGTAGTGCGGTCAGAATGTCACGCACCGCCGGGTACATGCCGTCACTTATCGTACAAGTTAAATACTAAGCCCGCAGGCACCATAGCTAGTAAACTTTCTGTCAGCTCTATCTACATACTAGTAGCACTAATTTAATGTATTATGCATTTAGTTTTGCACTCATTAACGTCACAGTTCCACAGTAACTCCGTAAATAGTAGTTTGAATCTACAAAGGGAGTTACACTACAAACAAATAATGTAGATTTGTGGAAGGCTCTCGGCCGCGGTACTCACTCGGTACCAATATTTCATAATATAAGTTTAGTGCGACATTGTTTCCGTGATCTTACAGTCTGCGTGTCGAAGTGTCGACACCATCTTAATCCTTGCATTCCGTTCACCGATTCGCTCCTTCACTCTGATACGCTCCGCGCATGCGTTCTGTTACTATGTCAGTTTCATATCATTCTTTGGCATTATTTAGTGAGCTAAGTTCGTTATGACTTGCACTAATAGATTTAATTCATGTTTTACCGATTGTTTCCGTCTAGTCCGCGATTTTAAAATGTATTGCACTACTGAATTCATAATTTTCATTTGAATCACTTTTATTTATTTATAGATATAATATTATAACTATAACCTACGTCTCAGTTAGAGATAATAAAATTATTTTCATCTTGTAATACGCATGGAATTTATAATTGTCAACATGCTATAATGAAGTAAACGAATCTGAGTATTATAATCATTCGTAATATTATACAATATAGATAGATATTTGTGACCTAATCTATTCAGTCAATTGAATCGAATCAAATAATAGCCTCTCTCGAAATGAAGTTTCGAACTGTTAGTATCGACGTGGTAATGGATAAATGTAAATCAGACTTCTGTTAGACGATTTAGAATAGTAGAATACTATGTTCGTTCTGGTATATAATTCAAACTAATTCATAAGAAGGTTCGTTCTGCGTCAGCACAAAAGAAAACTATATCAAGTCAGCACCACTCGAACAGCTAGGCACCGGGAAGGTCATAAACTAAAGACGTGTACTTTTCATAGTCGTTCCTAGGTCGGGTCGCGGGCACTGCGAGTCCGCGACTCAATGTATCCGCAGAGTCCTCGGCCAGTCTGCCGGCGGCGCGCGCCTAGGCAGAGCGCGTGTGACGTCACACGTGCGACTCCAGCGGCGGGCGCGGCGGCGGCACCAGCGGGGACGGCCACACGCTCGTCAGGTCCGCCGCCAGGTCCGACGCCAGGTCCGACGACAGGTCCGGGGACGACGTGCGCGTGTGCCGGGCGGACCAGCCGTCCTTGTCGAAGTCCTTGGTGCCGCCCACGGTGTGGCGCCGCTTGATGCCGCGCTCGGGCATGCCGTTCTTGCGCTTCAGCTTGGTGGAGCGCCACGCGCCCGCGTCCCGCCGCCGCACGCCGGGCAGGTCGCGCCGCTCGCCGCGCTCGCCGGCCCGCGCGCCCGCCTCGCGGCAGTTCAGGCTCTCCGAGCGCAACACTCGCGCGCCTGCCTCGCGGGATAGTGACGCCGAGCGCTTTAGCTTGGCGCCCTCTTCTTCAGCGGGCCGCGAGGTGGCCACGGTTTCTAGCGCAGCGCTATTGCGTTTATTATCGCGGGGTGCAGGTTCAGTGGCTGGCTCGGCGGAATCAGGCTCGTCCCTTCGTGGGCAGTTTTCCTTCTCCGAGTCGTCGGGATCATCACGCGCATGGCGGCGCGGCCAGGCGCGCTCGGGCTCGTCGGCGCTGGAGGAGGAGGAGTGACGATGGTCGCGCGCGAGCCAGGCAGCCTTCAGTTCGTGCGCCCGCGCGGCTGGCGACAGACGCTCCTCTCGCTCGCTGGCGCCCTCTGACGGGGAGCTGGCGGTGGACTTGCCCTCCTCGGTCTCGTCCTGGCACTCGTCGGCGTAGGGAATACTTCCGTCGTCGAGCGGGGACGAGTTGTTCAGCGTCCGCAACTTCTGGTCGAACGTGCTGGTCAGAGACGACACCAAGTCTCCGGTTCCTGCGACAACATGTTACAGCATTAGTGCGCGCCGAGCTGGGGGCGAGGGTTAGGCACAGACGGAAGCGTGTTAGATAGTGGTGGTGTCGTCAGGTGACCATTGAGCTGATGATGGATGGATGATGTCGGTATGTACACGTGATGTGGTGGATGGTCACACCGGCCTACCACTACACCGATGCACGAGCATATTAAAGCCGTGCTGTGAAGCCGCCGACTCAAGCGTTAGTGACACGGCCCACGCCTCCCACACGGCGCGTGCAGGGCGCGGCGTGGGGCCGGCGTGGGGCCGGGGGTTAGGTAGCCGGCGCAGACACACATTGCAACACGCACGCTCACATTCCTCTACCTTGTAATGTGGACAAAAGAAAGGGATTGGTGTGTCTACTCTCTGACGTCAGTACTGGACACCTAGTGGGGCAAATAGCGGACACCTTTATTGTACACCATTAGAAATAACAAAGTATTATATCACTTCCAGTCCCTCGGCCGGACCAAAGCTCGGAGGCGGGTTTGGTCGTCTTATGGAAGTTTCAAAATGTTGTTAACTCACCATCTATTGAGAAGTTGGTGAGCGCGTGAGTATGCCGCGAGAGTTCTTGACGACCGCGGCCCAGCGCTTGCATTGACTCCAGTTCAATCCTGAAACATTAAGCAAGGTAAGTTGTAGGGTTTTGGACCTTTGTAAGTGTGAGTTGACGCGGTGCAGATAATGTAAGTATGCTTACTTATTGCCATCCTGCGTCCTGCTGTACTTGTGGTTGAGGCCGTCGTAGTCCGCCAGCGAGGTGGTGAGGTGGTGCGGCGGCGAGGTAAGCGGCGAGCTGGGCGGCGAGGCGCCCGGCGACACGTCCGACCGCTTGTCGTCCAGCTTCTTGTCCGGCTTGGAGCGCGGCTTGCGCTGGATCTTGCGGTTGGCCGCCGATATGATGGAGGACACTATGTCTCGTGTCGACACGTCCTTGCCTGAAATGTTGAAAGCTAATTTTAATGGTATTATTAGTTGTTCATGCGGGATGCTGGCTGGGGCAAAATTATGCTAATGACATGGCAATAAGGTTCAAAATAGTACTTGCTAGGCATGCATGATTGTGACTTATTGATATTCACGGTCAAATGTTGAATAGTTACCTTCAATCTTTTTGACGTTGTGTATTAACAGGTCTCGAGAGGGTGCAGGCGCGGGGGATAATTCTTCCGCGCTAGTGGGGGGGTCTACTGGAGGTTCACCCTCTTCTTCCTCGAAATACCAATCGTACTGTAGGCAAAGAAAAATATTTGATTAGAATCAAAAACTTATAAAAGTGACGTTTATCAGTTTCACCTAATATTCATCAGTAGTTACTTACGTGTGTGAGGAAGGACTCGATGATGCGACATTGGCTGGACATATCGTTGACCATGGCCAGCATGTCGTCGCTGGCCGCGCGGACCAACGTTGGCCCAAACACGATGGCCAAGTTTCTCGCCTCCATTTTGTTGTAGGCGGAATGCGCAACAACTTTGCGCAAATGTTGGATCAGGTACTTGAGTGTTTCGTAGTGTGCGTCGGGCAGTGCGTGGACTAGACGACGGAGCTCCCGCGCTCTCTCTGGCGACCGGTCGGCAGCTGGACGTACCAAAACATTCGTGAGATTTTTTTATATTTTTCAAAACATTATTTATCCTGTCAAGACCCCTTGGCCAACAGTCAGAATTGCAATTTGTGACCTTTCAGTCATAACTTGGTTCTCTTTTAAGTAGACGATGCATATAAACTTGCGACTGTTGTCGTTAATAGTCAAACCGGGTCGACTTCGTTTATTAAACACGGATGTCACGATTGCTACATATTGATGAATATCCCAGAAGTGAGGGACAGTTATGTATAATGGCAACACTGGCTGGGTATTTCCATTCCTTTGCATTCAGTACTCTGAGGCATTCACCTCTAGTCTCTGGTGGTGGAAATGACAAAATTTGCAAGTCATAATCGGCTGCCTCAGTGTTAGCGAATGGTGTCGTTAATTTGTCGCGATAGACAAAAATTAAAAGCTTGTGGTTTTTTGAAACGTGCTTGTGGATATGTATGTAACACACTCTTCGTCTATTAGACGAGGACGGATAGCATAACTTTAGAATATATTTTTTCTAAAAAGGTAACAATGTATATATGTAGTAATTCCTTTATCAGTTGAACAAAACTCACCAATAAAGGCGGGATAAAGATCAGCAGTTAGCAGTGGGTCGGGCAGCCTCCGTAGATACGCTTTGAGCAGGCTGGAGGCGACGTGTACGTCGGCCCAGCGCGCGTCGGCCGCGGGCGGGGGCTCGCCGCGGTCTAGCGCCGCCGCCAGGGCTGCCACACCCGCCGCGTTACCCGGCACTCGGTATACTCCTACTGTGCGAAGACCGTACGCCTAGAAGACAAGGCAAGGTTAGTGGTTCGTTGTGGGACATTTTTTAAAATTTATTTATTCATTGTTTATGTTATATCGCAGCCATGTCTTACTGTTGATAGATTTGGCTGTCAGAGACTAGAACTTTTGAATTCATCTTATGTGTAATATTTAATTAGGTAGTTCATTAAAACTATTCATTATTGATTGAAAAAACAGATACTTAATTTACAGTTACGTATTGTATTGTATGCTATGTTAGAAGATGGTATTACCTCGACAGCGTGTGCCGGCAGGGTGACGGCGCGCGGTACGAGCGGATGCTCGGGGTCGTGGGGGCAGCGCTCGAGGGGCGCGCCCAGCCAGCCCGCGGCCGGGGCCGCCGCCGCCGCCGCCCCGCCGTGCATGCGTCGCAACTGCTTCGCCATGCGACCCTTCCACGTCTTGTTCTTCGGAGACGATGGTAAAGTCGGCGTCGGTGGGCCTATGGAAATCAAGTTTGTTAGGTTATATGTGTTTATAGATCTTGTTTACAGTTTGAAATATAGAAGACGAAAGTATTCTCTTCTGATCCTTCTTGATAGGTTTAGGTTGCGTTCTGATCAATTAGTAGCAAAGTTGCGTGTGTAAATTTAGAACTTTTGGGACAATGCCACAAACATTGTAACCACTTTAAAAGTCTTATCTGCATATTTAGTTTTGTTTCTTTAATTATTATTTATTTGATGATATAAACTCACCAGTGGGAGACCTATTTCTGCCGATTTTCTTGCTGCGTTGTGGCGGATGTGGGGAAGGACAGTCGGGGGCGGGTAGCGGCGCGGGCGCAGGTGCGGGCTGCGCGGGCGCAGGTTCGGCTGGCGGGGGCTCCGCCGAGTGACGCCGGAGAGCTGCCAGCCAGCGCTGTGCGTCTGCTGCACCTTCAGCCTGGATATCAGGAAAATATAATTAAAATTATGTGACAAGATAGCTATAACTCGCTGATTAACATAAGGATTAAATATCGACGCGACTGAATGAATACGATTTACATAAAGGAAGTATGTGTATGTAAATTGTAACAATATGCTGTAGTCGCTAATTATAATTGAAACATTCTAGCATGCAAGAATTTGCCAAAATTACGTATATTGGCAACCTGCCTCCCATTGTTAGAATAGAAAATGTAACAACACAAGCTTTGTTGTATTTTTATTCCTACGTTTTGTGGCAGATAAGGTTAACGAACGTCTTAAATAGAATTATTTACAATAAACAATTTATATGCAATATCTACTGAAATTATTCTGTGTTGGATCCTTTCGTGACTGTTACAATATGGCGTGAGTTTTCGTTATAAAGTATTCGTTATTTAAGTTTAGATTTGTAAAAAATATAGATTATTTTTATTAGTATTATAAACCTTATTGTCTAAGTACCTAGATAGACATATTTTCTACATACCTGAAGTAAAAGCTCTGCGCCGGCGGCCGTGGTGACCCGTACCACGTGTTTTCGCTTAGTGTAGTCGTCGGCGAGGGCTGCCAGTGAGTAGCGCACGTCCAAGGCGTCCCTAGATCCTGGCTGCGCCTCCGTGCCGCCGCCGCTTACTGCGCCGGGGCTCTGTAACAATGACAAATAGAGGTTAGACTATCAATTTGTGGATTGCTAAATTTGTCCAAAAAAAAACTGCGCAGCCAAGGTAAGTTCTTAATATCATATAAAGTTTTAATAATATAAGAACGTTTTCAAATGGCACAACAATAAAACCTACATGCTCTATGACGATGACGTCCGGACATTGTTTTACAAATAATTGAGAAATAGCTTTTCTTTAGTTTACATTATCAGCGGTGCTGTGGCAATAACGTGCGCCGATGAACCGATGACGCCGACAAAAGAGTAACAATAGATTAGTTACCAACGTTATTTACGCGTATGTGTTCAATGTCTTGGCTCCAGGCCATTGCACACGCTGAGGATCTGCACGAGTAGTGTAACTAACATTCAAAAGCAGAAACCTGTTAGTCTACTAGACACTCGCCCCAAAATGCCTCGACAAACGAAAGCGAAATAATTGTATAGCAAACGTTTTCATGGCCATCTATTAAGTAAAGGAAGTCATACCGTGTAATCGAACAGTTATCAAAATTATTGTAATTACTGAACATTCCGAAAAAACTAGTTGTGTGTAGTGAGGCGACAGTACTCACGGAACTAAATATTTAGAGGCGTCTTGTCTAGCTTTCACCCCTCCCCTTAATTATAGGTATTTCATAGTATGAGTCATAGTGTCCGAAATGTGGTTTGTAGTTGATAGTGACATGGATAATGGTGGCTAAGCATTAATTTCTCGTTGCATGTTATGAATGGTCCTTCTGCATTGTACCTAGTTGTTGTATTGGCGCCGGACAAGCGCAAAACACCAGCATGTAATGATCGCATGAAAAAACCGCGCCATCACCAAAATAACAGCACGTTTTTTACGGTTCTGAATACATCTGCCAAGATGATCGTATATAACTACACTGCAATAACTCTTGCAAGACCTGATATGCCATGAATCCAGGACTCGGAGAGCATGCAAAACTTAAATGTATTTTCAGACAACAATATGTTCGCTAGGTGATATTTTAGGCTAGTTCAAAATAGATTGGTAATTAATGCGAATGCCAAAAGTTGATTGGTTACGGAGCGAGTACAAAAACTTAAACCGTTTTGAATAGTAACGGTTAGCAGTGAGACAAACGTAGTAAGTAAAGTAGGTCGCAAACAAGACAGAACATTTCTCCAGCGTTGCCTATATTGTAGTGGTGAATAGGTTCTGTTGAGGCGTCGTGTTTGTTTGTTTACCCGCCCGTGGCAGCAGCTCGTTACTCGGAGGAAATCGAAAGTAAGAAGTCGGTCGCGTCTTCCGCGAGTGCGTGCCACATTGTCACGGCACGCGATACAACGCCCTTGTCACGGTGCGCCATAGATTACCATCTACTTAACCGTATTTAGATCCAAATCTTAAATGAGTTGTGGCGGCCTTGTACTTTTGTTGAGACAATGCTCAGCGTCTTCACGATGTTACATCTCAGTATTCCATTTGTTTCATCCGTTTGAGTTGTATGAATAATTATACCGAATTTGTTTGTGTTTCAGTCAAATAAACTTTACGAAGGCGGCAGATGATTCCAACCATTGTTAGCAGTCATATTTCACGGAAAAACATGTGCGAATAATTTATTTCTGACATCCAACCTCTTAACCTTTAACCGAAACATAAGCGACATTTACTTGAAGACACTGCCCGAAAAATGAGCACGACTCCATTTAAAATACAATGCATTTATTTTACAGCAGAGCCATTTAGCTTATCGTGATCGTACGCTATTATACTCAATTTCGGTTTATGTGAGAAAACGATCGTGCTTCCAATAGTCTTGAAAACTGTCCGCGATTAGAATCGATGATTTATTGAGCGTGACCCACATTAACAGATTTCCGCACATGTAACACTCGAGTAAAAAATCATGTTCGTCTGTCCGAGTCGCGACAACATTTAGCGATTGTAACCTATTCACATCAAACTCAATTAGTGGGTCAACGGCTTGTCAGAAGTGGTACGGTAACGCGGCGCGGTGACGTAACGAGTTGCAGTTCACGAGAGATGCTAATAAACAATTAACAGGGGAGCTAATGAGGAAGCTCGACGGTTAGTCCTGCCCCCGCCGGCCTGGGGAGTTATTATATAGAAAGTACACGAAAGAATGTCGAACTATCGAGTAATTGACCCGATAGATGCAGGCACGGCGGCACCTCTGGCCGTAATAGCATATCACTTTACTTGTAGGTCAATTGCCTATACCTTCCAATAATCGTAATTGCGTGGCGCGTTGTCTGCGACGCCTTCGCATGGGTGCAAATTAAAATGTAGGTAAACGATGCCTAGGCGATAAGAGATCGAATATAAGACTCGATAGTTAATATTGTTTAGTTATAAGGAGAACTTGAATGTTAATAAACTCTTACTTTAATTTATTTTTCCCACATTTCTTATACATAAAACCTGCATTGTTTATTTCCTTCGGATTTAACATTGTAGTAATCATAGATGCACAAGTATGGGATAGCGCTTCGTGAATATCAGGTTATGTATGACCTTCCTAAACAAAAATGCAACACATCTCAAAATAAAGTCCAAACATTGAATGCATGCTCACCAATATGTCGGTGTACCAGAGTGTCATGACTTGGCTGCTTTCCACGAACGTCACAGGTGAGGGCGAGGCGTGGTGGTCATTGTCACTGCCTGCCAGCGCCAGCGCCACAATATGCACTTATACGCAGCACTCCACACAACAATACCCTTCCAGTGAAATGTTTCACGTGATTTCAGCTCGAGGGCATTGGCCCTAACGTCATTCGCGAACTTCCGAAATACACGGAGATGGCATAAATTCGTAGTTTTCGATATCGAACATCCATGCCAGTGCGCAATATATCAATCGAGCGACCCGCGTGCAAACTCAATCAAATCCGCCGGTAAAATAACAACGTGAAAATTGATTAAATATCCGGAAATGTGCAGCAGTGACGGGCGGGCGGCGCGCGCGCGCGTCTGAAGGACTATGACGGCGCTCTGCCGAGTTGCGTCTGCGCAGAGAAAGTGCTCCCGCGCAGACTCCGCGCCGTCTGCCAAAATGACTTTTTTTTTCACGGCGCGGAAACTGCTGATTTTTCCGGATGACCCATTCGGCACAATGCTGTTGTGATTTCTTCGAATTATTGCCTCGACTCTCAGGCATTATTTGGGTAAATGTTTTGTCATTTAGGAGTTATTTCAAAAGAAGCGTATGGTTTCATCAATATGTTCTGAAGTACTGTACTTTTGCATAACCTCTTAATTTTCTCGTTATGACTTATGGGATTATTATTCGAAGCATACAAATCGTTGGTGATGTCGTAAACATCTGCCTTATCATGAGGCATTATTTAGCTGTGTCAAGCGAGCGCTTAGATCCGGCTACATCGATTTGCAAAGTGAATTATAATCGAGCGCTCGTCAATGACCGTGTCACTCGTAATTTCTTTAGAGCCGTGAACATAAGGTAATAATCGTGATTTGTCATACTTTTCCTTCGTGTTTAGAAATTCAGGGCTGGCAAAGAGATTTTGAAACAGTTGGATTTCGGTTCTTTGCAAATAATAATTATGAAATTATTGGAATTGGAAGTTTAATCTCCTTTTCCGTTCTTAAATACCGTCTGACGTAAATTTCTCAAAATTCTGTGTATTCATTAATATTTCGGAAAGCGTTACAGGATGTATATCTGTTCACAAGTCGCCCCCAGTGTTATTAATTTCAACAGTTTCGTCATTAAGTGACAACCTTTCTAGCAGTTTCCGTGCTTGTCATTGAACTTTTTACGTGGAGTTTCCTCGCTTTCTGTTAACATTGTATCAAAGTGAAAGATCGATTTGCTGAAATCGGTGAAGTAAACGGCCTACATTTCCCAACGAACCGTGTCTTAGTTACAAATATTTCAGATAAGTCATTGCCCTCATGTCTCATTGATCAGGTATCCACCAATGAAGTGGACTGGATCCGCAAAAGAGCCGCACTTATTACTTTTCGAAACCTTTGGTAATACCAAAGTTTCACGCAACAGATTTTCTCAATTACATGTGACGCATATAGCGTTACTAGAAATTATATTCGCAATTTACGTTGCCGTCGAAAAAAAGGTTTACTTGGACGTAGAACAGAAATATGAATCCTCGGCTGACTTCAAAATTTCAAATTGACGTTTATAGTGACGATAGCAACTTCTTAGATTTCTACTTGCGTTAGAAATAGTGATGGCGAATCCTATGGCCCATTGAAGTTTAACATTACGACACTCGCAGTAACTTGACAGTTTGTATATTTGCGTTTATTTTTACGTAACTGTCGAGGTAGTCAGGCAATTTTTGTAATGCGTCGTCTGAACCGATTAAATCTACTTATCGTGACTAAGTGTCGAATAAACAATAGGCCAGCGATGATTCAACAGCGGCGTCTTGAAAGATTTATGGTACATGTAGTGTAGACCGATATTTGGTAATAATGAGTCACTGTTGCATAATGCCGACAGCCAGACGACGGCTCGACTCTCAAGAGGGCTATTTTGTCCAATAGATTGTGAGAGATATAAGACGTTTAACAATTAATTTAATATTATGTAAACGGTAATAGTATCATGAGTAGGTTTATGAAATTATACCGTTAAGTGGTGTTAGGGAAGTGATTACATTCATCGATAACTCTTTGTGTTTGCATTCAATCAAATATTTTGTACAAAGTTAAAGGTTAACATTTTTATAAAAACGAAAGCGTGTGTACTGTTTTTGTTTCATAAACTTTCATAGTTATATTCACCTAGTAAACGCGTTTTGTAACTTTCTACATAATCGCATCCTGTGTTATGATGTCTAAAGTGCGGATTTACGTATTTATCGGATAGAAAGTATAATGGAAACCAGATCCCGCGCAGTCAATGGATTGATCCCGATCGCCTTACGTTATATTACGTCACTTTGACGTCATTCGCGTATTTGGGTCAGGCCGTTTCATACATTCATGTTTTATAACCTAT